GTCATCTCGGAATCTTGGAATTGAGGCTGGCCAATCAGAGACCATATGCAAATTTCCTTCTCTCATGTCTCCGTTTCTGTCATGAACCCTTTTCTCCACCAGGGGCTCCTGTAAAGCTGGCCAATCTGAGACCATATGTAAATAGCACCACAGCGGCAGCCAATCAGAATCTTGGAACTTTCAGGCTGGCGAATCAGAATGCTGGCACATACTCCTCCACACTGCCACACGTCCGCCGCATACAAACTTTGACTTTTATTATATGTATAAATAGATAGATGGTCACTCGTTGGTCTGATAGGTGTCTTGTGTCCAAATTTGGTGTCAATTCGCCCATTGGTTTTTGAGTTATGTTAATCCCACAAACAAACATTAATTTTTTATATAGATTATTATTATTATTATTAGTATTATTATTATTATTATTATTATGGAGCCCTCGGTGGCGCAGTGGGTTAAACCCCTGTGCCGGCAGGACTGAAGACCGACAGGTCGCAGGTTCGAATCTGGGGAGGGGCGGATGAGCTCCCTCTATCAGCTCCAGCTCCTCATGTGGGGACATGAGAGAAGCCTCCCACAAGGATGATAAAAACATCAAATCATCCAGGCGTCCCCTGGGCAACGTCCTTGCAGATGGCCAATTCTCTCACACCAGAAGCGACTTGCAGTTTCTCAAGTCGCTCCTGACACGATAAAATATTATTATTATTATTATTATTATTATTATTATTATTATTATTATTATAATATAGTGTGTGCAGTTGCTGATCAATTCCTCTCCTTGCTGTGTGCCATAGAAAAGAATAGGAAAGGGTTAAGGGAGAGGCAGTGGGCAGGGGTCGAATTCCACACCAATGGAGTCGGAAACACTGGGATGCCTGTGGTGGAAGAAACACACAAAATCTAGGATAAAATTGTCCCCATATGAAAGCTTTCACTTGCGTGGTGGCCAGTATGGTGTTTGTGGTGGACATTGGTAGGGAGCTGACAGATGGGAGCTTACCCTGTCTCTGGGATTCAAACTGCCGACCTTCAGGCCAGCAGTTCAGCTGGCACAAGGGTTTAACCCATTGCGCCACCTTGGCTCCTTATTTTGCTATTCGAATCTGGGTCTTAAATGATTGAAATCTTTTCCAAAAGAGACACTGATTTTTTTCTACCCACTGTTTTTGTTGTGTGGAATGGGTTAAATTTCATAGATCCCCAGCTTGAAAGGGGCTTCGTCCAATCCAATGCAGGCTTTCCACATTCTTCTGTATGTTGCCCTTTAGAAAAAAAGAGTAGGGTCTAAATTACCTTAATAAAATAACCAATAGAAATAATTGTTTAAAAATAACTCACATTTGTATTTTTGTTACTGCTTCACTTTGGCACCTGGCAGACAGAAAAGTAATAACTATTAAGAACACACACACACACACACACACTCATATATACGAGGGGTATTTTTTAAGTAAGGTCTGTTTTGTTGTAGACACTAGTAGTTTGTGCGCATATCGCAACGAGCGCGTGCGTCGTGTACCGGCATGCCTTGGGAACAACTGTGCTCAGTTTCCGCTCTGTAGCTAACCTGTACGGTTCTGTTCTGTGCTTTAAAAATGTTTAAGACTATCAACTCACCCGCCGCATGTGAGGTTCGCTCAGCGATACGGTTTTTGTCAGCAAGGAACCTGCCTGCTGCAGAAATTCATTGACAGATTTGTGAAGTGTACGGTGATACTGTTATGAGTGAAAGCAAAGTGCGTAAGTGGGTACGACAATTCAAAGATGGCCGTGACAACGTCCATGATGAGGGCCGCTCCGGTCGCCCTTCTTTGATTACAGACGATTTGGTGGCTTCAGTTGAAGCGAGGATTTATGAAGAGGGTATTTTGAAATTGGTTCAGAGGTATGATAAGTGTTTGAACAAACTTGGAAACTATGTCAAAAAATAGAGTGAAGTATGTACTTTCTGAAAATAAATTTACTTTTTTGAAATAAAATTTCGTTGTGTACTTATGTTCCAATGGACCTTACTTAAAAAATACCCCTCGTAACTCAGTCATGCTCTCACTAAACGATTAGAGAAGGAATCTGTCACAACTGAAAATTGTACCGTTTGGGGAAAGGCTAAATTGTGTGATAATGGAAATGCACATGTATTTTTGTGTGATTTAAAAAATTATAGGGATTATGGGATATATAGTTTGCGGAGCCATCTCTCTTTGGCAAAGAAGGCTCAAGACCTCACCGAAATTTGGCACAGTTCTGAGTCCTTCTCTCCATGGGTGCCACCTAGGGACACACACTTCTCCCATCTTTTTAAGCAACTGTAAACACCTTGCTTGTAGAAGTCGACAAGTTGCTCCATATGCCACGTTGTGACTTCAGAAATCAGAGTCTCATCATCTGAAAAATGCTTGGCCTTCAAAATAACGTCATTGTTGGAAAGAGGTGAAAGTCCGATGGGGCAAGGTTGGGTGAATCGGGGGATGCAGTAGAACAGGGGTCCTCAAACTTTTTAAACAGAGGGCCAGGTCACAGGCCCTCAAACTATTGGAGGGTCGGGTTATAATTTGAAAAAAGCATGAATGAATTCCTATGCGCACTGCACAGATCTTATTCGTAGTGCAAAAAACACTTAAAAACAATACAATAATTAAAACGAAGAACAATTTTTACAGATATAAACTTATTAGTATTTCAGTTGCAAGTGTGGACCTGCGTTTGGCTGATGAGATACGATTGTTTTTGTTGTTGTGTGCTTTCAAGTCATTTCAGACTTAGGTTGACCCTGAGCGAGGGCCGGGTAAATGACCTTGGAGAGCTTTATCTGGCCCATGGGCCTTAGTTTGGGGACCCCTGCAGTAGAATTTCAAAGCCACAGGAACATGCTTCCATTTGGGCAACAGGTGAGTTGTGAAGTGGTGAATCATCCTGCAGAAAGTGAGTAGGCCACATCTCTTGGTTTTGTTGGCCTCGCGCAATTTCCACAGCAGTGAAGTATAGTATGCCCCAGTGATCATAGTATCCTTTGCTAGGAAATCCATCAATACTACTCTGTGCTGGTCCCAAAATACTGTGAGCATGACCTTGCCTGCCTAGAGTTGGACATGTGACTTTAGTCTCAGGATCATCGTGATGGATCCAGCTTTCATCCTGTGTGATCAGTCCGTTGAAAAAGTCCTCCTGGTTTCCATGGCACATGATTATCAAGAGAGTCTGAGAGTATTTGACTCATTCCTGCTTCTGGAAAGGTGTGAGCACCTGGGGGACCCAGTGAGCAGATGCCTTATGCATGTGAAAATGGTTTTGGATTATTTTTTCCACGGACCCCACACTCATCTTGACATTTTGGGATAGGTGGCGATTGGTTAGGCGGCGATTTTCAAAAATGGCGACCTCCACTTGTTAAATGGTGTTCATCAATAGCAGAGTGGGATCGCCCTGGAATTGGAGCTGTTTGCACCGAAGTCCAACCACATTTGCATGGACAATGCCAGTTCTTGACTACATCCTATGATGGGGAATCATCACCATAAACCTCTTCCATCTCATCGAGCATCTTTGGTGTGAGGCCTTTCAATGAAAGAAACTTGATGACTGCTCTGTATTCCGCTGGGTCCATTATCAAACCTCACACCACTTCAGCACCTGTGCAATCAAGACCGTTATCAGTTCTGAGTTGTAAATTGGCATGTAATCTATAGAGACTTATATCATTACACACGTGTAGTTTCAGGATCCTGTGATAAATAGAAGTAGATTAGGGAATATCTTTAATGAATGCCCCTCGTAACTGGGGAGTGTTCGTTTTACAATTTGGGCTTTCTGAACACTGAATCCTTGCTACTCAGCAGCCCATTTGGTGCTGGCAAGTTTGTCTTCTTTGCTTGTCCCTACATCCAAAGAAGGAAAATTGGAAGAGATCTATTTCCTACAGGAAGAATTGTAAGAGTCAAATGAATGTATTATATGCAAGTGTAATGCGCAGAAGAACTGTGACTGTATTATTGGCTTGTGTTGAAGTTGCCATTTTCTTGAACTCTGCTTATACAAGAGTACATTTGAGTTTTGCATTCTTCTATTTGGAGTTGCTCATCTTTGAATAAACAAGGGGACTAATTTTCTGGACCTGCATGAACTCAACAAACTGCAACAAGGATGATCAGACATTCGGACAATAGGGTATTAGGTGGTGTCGATGGCGGAGGATTGTTGCCCTGATGCTGGCAGTCTTTGCTGACGTTTGTCCACTTGCCTTCTCAAGAGATTTTGCAGGATTTTTCAATTGACTCTTTCAGGAGTCGAGAGGAACATTTATGGTCCATGTTTTGGAAAGCAGAATTGGAAGGACAACAATGATCACACTATAAAGTATAATGCTTCATTCAGAAAAACACTGTACAGTAGAGTCTCGCTTATCCAACATAAACGGGCCAGCAGAATGTTCGATAAACAAAAATGTTGGATAATACGGAGTCTCCTATCATTACTTGTCCAATGTGGCACTGGACACCTAGAATACTAACAACAGGGACTCAAAGGGTTAAGGCAAGGCAATGCCTCGGGGCTAGAGCGGCCCAGCAGGAAGTGCCCGGATGTGGAAGAGGAGCGTGGAAGTCACAGAGGGAAGGAAGGAGAATGCTTCCGGTTCTGCTTCTTTTCCCCCTTCCCTTCCTTCTCCTCGCCTTTTTCACTTATTGGGAATGGAAAGAGTTGGGGAGTGCTCCTTTAATTGAAGGGGAAATGCTAGAGGAAAAGGCGGGCCTCGGATAAGAGCGTTGGATAAGAGGAAATGTCGGATAAGTGAAGGTCGGATAAGCGAGACTCTACTGTACTCGCAAGGCTCCGATGGTGTTGTATTTCGGTGTTTGTGTCAACTGTTGTAAAAGACGGTAGAAAGAAATGGTCGACATTTTCTAGTCGAGGGGGGAATGACATTTCAAGGGAAGGGATTCGTGGAAATCTGGCAGATCGATCAACACAAACATACATATAAAAAGACTCGACTCTCCCGCTTGGATGCAGGGTTTTTTTCCCTTCCCCAAACATAGGTTTTTTAATTAAATAAATAAATGAAGGATACTCATCACAGTGGAGGCCTTCCCTGCTTTAACAATGGGGAGGGGCGCCAGAACATTTATTTAAAAAGGAGGAAAGCATCCACAGACAAAATCCCACCTCCTTCTACCAAGGAAAATATAATACGGGCACTTTCTCTTTCCTCTCTTTTTCCTTTCTTTCTGGAAGTCCCACCTGCCTTCCGCACACAACCCGACCATTGCATTTCTTCCCACCCCTAAAGGTAAGGCCACCTCCTTGCAACCTGTAAACAAACTTGGAAGGATATATATTTATATATATATATAAATAAAGACATAATAAAAAATACGAACGATGGAGTGGATTGAGTCCATTTCGAAGGGAAAGAGATATACTGAGATATAGAAGAGAGGCTATATCCTGGTTGCCATTGACCCAGCAAGGGCAGATGAACACCCCGCCCCATCCGCAGCAGTTCCTCTTCCCTGCCAATAGGGGGAACCAAGGGAAGTGTGTGCTGCCACCTAGAGGACACAATGGGAAAGCAGAGAAACAAATCGAATTCCCTTCAGTGCGAAGTGTCCCTCGGGGACCTCAGGATGCGAACTGTGTGTGTTACTGCATCATTCACTCTCTTCCAGTCACATGTTTCTTAAAATGTACACTGGTACGTCCACCTTATTATTTTTTTAATATAAGGAGAGGGGGGAAAATAGCAAATCCTCCCCTCCAAGACCTCTTCCTTTAGGCAATCTTAAACTGACTGATTTATAGGAAGCATTAGGTTTCTAAGAAGAAATGTAACCCCTGAGAGTCATGAATGGAAGTCTCTGGAACAGAGTGTGCTAGTATGGTTCGGTGCACAGGAACTTTGTTGCACCCCATCTCGAGCCATTAGGAGAGACCGGAAACAAATAAAATATTATTATGGAATGGGACCAGGGGATGGAAGACCAAGACAGCAAGATTTCAGAGCGGTATCTACAGTAGAGTCTCGCTTACCCCACATAAATAGGCCAGCAGAACATCGGGTAAACAAAAATGTCGGATAATACAGAGTCTCCAACTGTTACCCGTCCGACGCGGCACTAGACACCTAGAATACTAACAACAGGGACTCAAAGGGTTCAGGCAAGGCAATGCCTCAGGGCTTGAGCGGCCCAGCAGGAAGTGCCCAGATGCAGAAGAGGAGCGTGGAAACCAGAGGGAAGAAGGGAGGATATTTCCGCTTCTGGTCCTGCCTCTTTCCCCCCTTTCCTCCCTCTTCCTCCTTGTCTTGCCTTTTTCACTTATTGGGAACGGAGAGAGAGTTGAGGAGTGCTCCTTTAACTGAAGGGGAAATGCTGGAGGAGAAGGCGGGCATTGGATAAGAGTGTCGGATAAGACGGAATGTCAGATAAGCAAAGGTCGGAGAAGAGAGACTCTACTGCATGTCCTTGATTTTGGTCAGTTTTGCTGTTGATGAGGACCCAAGAAGTATGGGACTCAAGGTGAGACCTTGGCATCGAGGGAGGTAGAACTCTGCCGAAAACTCTCTAACAACTCTAAAAACTTCTTTCAGCTTCACTAAATTGAGGAAGACTTTCATAAAGAGAGAGGTGCTCAGCTGGGGTTTTGTCCCAACAGGGTCGTCAAAGCGACACTGCGATGTTGCACACAAACGATTGCACCCCCTCTCCAATCAATCAATATTTTGTGCTGGTTATGGTCCATAATAAAGTCTTGACTGGAGAGGGGCTGCGATCGTGTGCGCATGTAATGTCACTTTGGTGACCCTGTCGGGACAAAGCACTAACGGAGAGCCACAGTGCTGTAAAACTAGGAGGAAGCTTCATACACAAAGCAAAGTTTGTGTACACCAAGCCATCAGAAAGTAAGGGTGTCACTATCTCAGCTACCCAAGTGGGATCGTTTTGGAGTATTTTGGATGTCAAACAAGAGACATTCAACCTGCAGAAGCAGTTTTGCAGAAATGAACTCCAGGGAAAGCAGTACATGCCTTCTACTTGCTTCCCTTCCTTGTTCACCCCCTTGCCCTAGAGTCTCCAATGATATGATCACGGAGAAGCCATTAAATGTTTGAATCGAAGTCTGTCAAGGACAGGAATGCAGGAAGACCCAAAAGTTTCAATTTTTAAAAAATACTGGAATGGGAAGAGAAAAAAAGTATCTAATATCAGCAAAATAGGTTGAGAGAGCGTAATGCCTTTGTGTGTAATGGGGAGTTTGGGCTTTGCCTTCAACGTGAAGAGCTCTGGCTCGCTCTTCTTGCAGGGCACACATATTCCTTCCTTTTAAAAGCCCAGATCTGTTCTGGGAAGTCACCAATGAGCAGAAAAGGGGGAAAGGGACCAAAAGCAACTCCATCCCAGTAACACAGAGTGCAACTACAAGACTGGGCAAGAATTCATCTCCCCAATTTAAATAAAATGACAAAAGAGGTACCACTGACTGCCGCTGCAGCTGGAAACCAAGGTTGCAAGCAGCTTACTGTTGACAGCCAACTACTTTCCACATCCATTCCTTTAGAACAAGCCTCTTCAACCTGTGGCTTTCCAGGTGTTTCGGCCTAGCTCGTCAGTGGCCAGGAATTCTGGGAGCTGAAGTCCAAAATGCCTGGCAGCCTGCTCTAGAACAATAACCACCCTTCCGCCCCACAACCCAGACTGCCCTTGTTCCTCAAAAGTGCTTGTGATGAATCTTTCTCTCTCCCTCCCTCCATTATATCTCAAAGCACCAGAGGCTGGTGATCTTGCCTAGCATTATGCATGCACACGTGAGGCATCGTAAGTCAACTGTTATGGCTGTGTATGTCTCTCTTCTTGAGGTTAGCATTCCCTTTGCTCAGCCCCAAACCCGTTCTGGACCCTACCACAGCATCCTGGCCGCCCTTCCCCACCATTTGGTGTCTGGGAATAAAGAAGAAAGGGTTGGCTGGGAAAGATTCTGCCTGTCACAAATGGCTTTGACCTCCTTTCTCTGCAAGGACCCCACGGGGGCCACGGTTTCCCCTCCGCTGGCTTTTCATGACAGAGGCCGAGAGAGAGACAACCCTAGGGAGGTGTTTGGTTTTGCCGGAGAGCGATCTCGAAGCAGGGTGGTGGTCTGAAAAAAGAGGCGAGGTCCAAGGGGGTCTTCCGATTCCGTTCCCAGGGTTAGAGGCGTGGGGTCGGCCTCCCGCCCCAACTCACCTCTGCGTCCCCTAAGAGAATCGGGTCTGCCCCCCGCCAGCATTTGGGCCCAAGCTACAAAACAGCAGCATCGTCACTGAGACATGGAGTCCAAGTGGGCTGTCGTCGGAGCTGGGCAGGCCGGTGGAGCGGCCAAGAAGCTGTTGACCTCTCCGAGGCCGAGGAGGCCAAAGCTGGGGACGGATAAGGACACTTGCGCAGGGGACAGCAACGTCTCGGGGTCCCCGCTCAGTCCCACGTGGCTGGAAAGTAAAGGCAGCCGCTCTGCCATGTCCCGAGGAAGGGGGAAGCCCATGGCAATAGCTTCCCCTGAGCACCGTAGCGACTCCTGCTTGACTGTTGAGTAGAAGCCGTCGTCCGAAGAGGGGTTTGGCAGGCGTTGTGGAAAAGGGGACGTTCGGCCACCTGGGGGTCCTTCTTCAGGAGGATAAAAGGAACAGTTTGTTTCTGAAGGAGTGCTGCACTCATAGCCATGGCCCGACTCGCTGGCGCTCTCCATGCTCAAGGGCTCTGTGGAAGAAAAGGGTGGTAGGGAAGGAGATGGAGGGGAAAAAAAACACCTGGGATTGATATATCTATATAAATACAAATGTAATGTTCGTTTGTGGCATTATAGAACTCAAAAACCACTGGACAAATTGATACCAAATTTAGGCACAAGACACCTAACAACCCAATGTATGTCCTTCACTAAAAAAAAATTGATTTTGGCATTTGGGAGTTGTAGTTGCTGCAGGGCCGTAGCCAGAAAAAAATTTCGGGAGGGGTTGAAATTTTCGCGGGGGGGGGGGGGGGGGGTTGAAACCAGCCTCCTAGCTCACGCTGAAGCAAAGAGCACAGCAGGGGGCAGGGCAGCCTTCAGTAGCCTGCAGCTCCGCCCCTGTCAACCACCTCCACCAAGTCTGGCCTCCTTAATGAGAGCATTCAACACACACACACCCAACCTGGTTGCTTCACTACATCGGCTATTGCTGCAAGTAATGACAGTGTGAATAAATTGTCAATATTTAAGGCCTTGCATGGTCTGGGGCCGATGTACCTAAGGGACCACCTCACCTCCTACCAACCCCAGAGATCCCTCCGTTCTGAGGACCAAGATCTATTGGAAATTCCCAGTGTCAAGACCTTGTGTCTAACAGCAACCAGACGCAGAGCCTTTACAGCAGTTGCACCATCACTCTGGAATACTCTGCCACCGTGCCTTGCGGGACTTATCAGCTTTCCGCAGGGCATGTAAGACATATCTGTTTTGACTGGACTTTGATCTCTGACATTGCTGTTTTTAAATTGTTTTAAATTGTTTTTAAATTGTGTTCGATTTTAGCCTGTTCTTGTAAGCCGCTCCGAGCCCCAGGGGAGTGGCAGCATATAAGTTCGAATAACAAACAAACAAACAAACAAACAATCAAACAAATAAATATTTGCTTGAGATAGTGTTTGCAGGTCTTGAGGGACTCTTAATTTTTTGCATCTCATAGACTTAGCATGGGGATTTGGTTAACCAGTTAAAATGCATAAATCAACTGTTTTTTTAAAAAAAAATCTGAAACATTTCGGGGGGTTTGAACCCCTAACCCCCCCCCCTCACTACAGGCCTGAGTTGCTGGGATTTATAGTTCACCTACAATCAAAGAGCATTCTGAACCCCACCAATGATGGAATCAAACCAGACTTGGCAAACAGATCTCCCATGACCAACAGAAAATACTGGAAAGGTTTGGTGGGCAGTATCCTTTGGTTTTGGAGTTGTAGTTCACCTACATCCTGAGATCACTGTGGACTCAAACAATGATGGATATGAACCAAACTCTACATGAATACTCAATATGAACACTGGTGGAGTTTGGGGAAAATAGAATCTTGACATTTGGAAGTTGTAGTTGCTGGGATTTATAGTTCACCTACAATCACAGAGCATTCTGAACCCCACCAACGATAGAATTGGACCAAACCTCCCACACAGAACCCCCATGACCACCAGAGTGGGCCACAGCAACGAGTGGCAGTGGACGGCTAGTTAGTATATATTATTATACAGTGATGCTTTGACTTAAGAGTTTACTTCGTTCTCTTTCCGGGTTTTAGCACAGCAGTTTAAACCGCCAGCTGCAGTAAATCTTGCCGATCGAAAGGTTGACAAGATTGGGGTGAATTCCCACCGTCAGCCCAGCTTCTGCTCACCTAGCAGTTTGAAAATAGCAATGTGAGTAGATAAATAGGTACCACTTTGGCGGGGAGGTAATAAAAGGTGCCCACGCAGATATGCTGGCAATTTGATTGTGAGAGCGTCTAAGGACAACAAAGCTCCTTGACATGAAAGATGGAGCGACAGCACCCCCAGTGGCCAGAGTCAAACACAGCCTCCAAATGCCAGAGATAGAAAAAAATGGAAAGCCTTTACCTCTGTTTATGTACTTTGTTAATTGTATACCGGCATTGAATGTTTGCCGTATATGTGTACTGTAATCTGCCCTGAGTCCCCTCGGGGAGATAGGACGGAATATAAATAAAGTATATTATTATTATTATTATTATTATTATTATTATTATTATTATTATTATCATCTCAAAATGCTTATGAACCCTTTCTGAAATTTTGCCTGGCTCTAGTGTCTAAACCATTTTGAGAAGCTCCTTCCTCACACACCCTGAAGACTGGACCCCAAAACAATCTTGGCCTTGTTACCTGTGCCCTCCATCGCCAAGTGTTCCGGGTTGAAGCGAGGATTGAGGCAACCTGTTGCCGACGTGATGGGCGGCGAGCCACGGGAGCGGCTGGCATTTTCCCCTTCTCCGCCCTCTAAAAAATTATCTGCAAAATCCCTAGAAACAGAAAAGAACCCAATAATTCAGGTGTCAATGATTTCTAAATAGGAACAGGGCAAAGCAGTGCCAAAAAGAGCTAGGTCTCTGCGAGTGAGAGATGGCTTGGAAGCGTTATTTCTTACAATGATTTGGTAAATGTGTCCAATGTCGTTCTTTATGTAAAAGTGCAAACGTTCTGAAATCCTTTCTCTTACTGGAAAATTGCAATAAAAAGAACCTATCCTTTAAAGTTATTGAAAAATTATTCATAACATGACAGCTGGTTTCTTCCTCCAGGAAGACAACACTCTGAGTTTGAAAGGCTACCTTCCTAACTTATTTCCTCTCCATTCTCTCTCCCTTTGGGAAAGGATTCGGGCTCGACCTGCCCCATATGTTGGCTCCCCATAGACCCCATAGAGTTTCAAGGCGAGGGACATACTTTTTCTTCCCGAACCGTGTCTGTTGTGTGAAGTATTCGTAGCGCTCTGACTTCTTCCACATGTAATAGTACTCCACACACTCGCCCACCGACCGGGTGCGGACCTGCCAGGGAAAAGGCAACAAGATGGGTTCAGTTGAATTTGTACATAAGTCAGAACAGGTACACTTGTGTGCAAGTCCAGATGCATAGATGCTGAATGCAGCTTGAAACCACTTTAACTGTCCTAGTTCAATGCTACGGTTTTACAAGGTCTTTGGCCTTCTCTGCCCAAGAATGATGATGCCTCTCCAAGCTGCAAATCCCAGGATTGCATAGCTTTGAGTCACAGAATCATAGAGTTGGAAGAATCATAGAGATGGCCTCATGGGCCATCCAGTCCAACTCCATTCTGCCAAGAAGCAGGAAAAGCGCATTCAAAGCCTCCAAAGAAGGAGCATCCACAACACTCCAGGGCAGAGTGTTCCACTGCTGAAGAGCTCTCACTGTTAGGAAGTTCTTCCTAATGATCAGGTGGAATCTCCTTTGTTTCCTGCAGTTTGAAGCCATTGTTCTATTGTGTCCTAATCTCCAGGGCAGTAGAAAACAAGCTTGATCCCTCCTCCCTATGACTTCCTTTCACATATTTATACACAGCCATCATGTCTCCTCTCAGCCTTCTCTTCTGCAGGCTAAACATGCCCAGCTCTTTAAGCTGCTCCTCATAGGGCTTATTCTCCAGACCCTTGATCATTTGAGTCAACCTTCTCTGGACACATTCCAGCTTGTCAACATCTCCTTTCAATTGTGGTGCCCACAATTGGACACAGTGTGATTCCAGATAAAGTGGTCTGACCAAGGCAGACAAGATGGGCAGCATAACTTCCCTGGATCTAGGCTTTAGACTCCTACTGGTGCAGGCCAAAATCCCACTGACTTTTTTAGCTGCCACATCATAAGGTTGGCTCATGTTCACCTTCCTGTTCACAAGGACTTCAAGATCTTTTTAACACGGACTGCTGTCGAGCCAGGCATCATCCCTCATTCTGTATCTTTGCATTTCATTTTTTGCCTAGATGGAGTATCTTGAATTTTTGCCTAAATGGAGTATCTGACCCTTCATCTAAGTCATTAATAAAGAGATTGAACAGGACCGGGCCCAGGACAGAACCCTGCTTCTGGCACTCCACTCGTCACTTCTTTCCAGGATGAAGAGGAAGCATCGGGGAGAATCACCTTCTGGCCTCGTTTGCTTAACCAATTACAGATCCACCTAGCCATAGTTTTGCCTAGCCCACATTTGACTAGTTTCCTCGTCAGAAGGTTGTAATAAGAAATTCAATGTGCAGATTTGATAAATGTGAATTTAATATGATGTGTGGGAATGAATGGAAGATCAATGTATGGATGGAGCTAGTAATTTTGGAGACACCAGTACAATATTAAGGCCTGCAATGACTAACTACCTGATTGCTGGACTGTGATTAAAACCTGCTAATAAGAGCTGAAAAGTAAACTCTGATAAAGACTGTGACAACACTTCTTTCAAGTTAAGGAAATATTTGCAACATTCTTAATGTTAAGAAGGAAGTCAACACAAGCCTTATGTTTGTCAACACTGATCAAGAAGATCAACATCTGGTCAGGAAACTGAGATGGATCCAGGATGGAAGACATTTATCATTAATTTACAACTTTGGGACTACATCAGCAGAAGATTCCTATAAAAGACTCAATCTAATAATGCTCAAAGTGTGGCAGARCTGAGGAGTCTGTTCCACCCGCTATGCTCTGCTCCATGGGAAGGAGAGAGATAGTGTACCTATGGAGAGTGGCAGATTTGKACGGGAGCAGTCTGGTCACTTTGGGGCTTCTTTCTCAAGGGAAGAGGAATAAGTGCGCTTTTGGAGTCTTAGATTTTGTGCAGGGAATCAGGTTCTGCTGTATGGAAAACAGAAATCTGGTCCTTGGCATTGTTCTTAGGGAAAGAAGTTTTGGCATTTCATCATTTTGAAGTTTTGGCGTTCTGGAACGATGCATTGACAGGCTGCAGGAAAGCAGGGTCTGGCCTAASAGGTGTTTCTCCAAGGAGGGAGAATATTTGGGTGCATGAGGATGAATTTATTTATTTATTTATTTATTTACAGTATTTATATACCGCTTTTCTCACCCCTGTAGGGATTCAAAGCGGTTTATACAAAAACAATGGCGAAATTCAATGCCTTACATACATAAACCAAAACTCAATCAACAACATATAACTAGCATAAAATCAATAGGACAATTCACCATAAGATAAAAGGACATTTAAAACATGAAATATAAGAATTAAAACACCTTTAAAAAGTATTAAAATCACATTATCCAACATGTAGACTGCAAAATGCATTCAGGGATGACATTTTGTCTCACCAGATTTCAATTTCTTATTTTCATTTTTACAGCCAAACTTCTGGATTTATGTTTTTACTATGCTGGAAGCAGCTGGTGAAGTAGAGTTACTTTGTCTCTCCTTTCCTCTTAGTTTTGCTGTTAACATATGTCCAGCTGCTATTTACCTTGCCTGTTGCAGGTAGGCACACACAACTACAGTCTGATCAGCTAGCATAGAAGCCCATCCATCCGTTCACCTTTCAGCTTTTCATGCATGATTTATTGTAACTTGGTGCTCCAATTCCATAGCAAAAATCTATGCTTTCAAAGCCCTCCACCATCTTCCCAATGCCAGAATTGCTTTAGAAATTCCAGTTGGACAAATAATAAGGAAGAAAAGAGGATATGGAGTATAAAATGACTGTGTCAAAGAGAAGTTCTTTTTCATGCATGTACATGTGTATGAATGTTGAGTGAAAATGTAATTCCCCTTTGTTAGTTTGTTAGCCATGAAATTGTGAATCCAATGGAGTTGCATAGAATCCGTATGTCTGTATGTCCAATGTCGTTCTTTGTCTAAATGTTTTTCTGTAATCTGATATACCCTCTCACACTGGAAATTGCAATAAAAAGAACTTATGCTTTAAGTTATTGAAAAGTCATTCATGACAAGGTCATGGGGGACCTTGTTGAAGGAAGGCTTTCCTGAAATCCAGATAAGGCATTCCCTGCATCTACACAGCTTGGATCAAAGTGGTGCCAAACTGCATGAATTCTGCACCCTAGGAAGGCTAGGCAAAGAAGGCGGTGGAGGGGAAAACAGACAGATGCAAAAGGAAGGAAATAGGAGGAAAAGCAATAGATGCAAAGGGAAGGGAACAGAGAGAAAAGAGAAAGATGCAAAGGGAAGGGAATGGGGGCGGGGGAGGGGAGAGATAGACACAAAGTCATGGAAATATTCGCATCTGACCTTGTTGGCTTGAATCAGGTGGAAGTTTTTGCCATGGACCCGAAAGCCGTGCTCAAAGTTCCTGCATTCCTCTTCACTCCAGGCACACAGTTCATCTGCACGAAAGGCACAGCGAAAATGTCGAATGTGATATAGTTTGTTAGTGAAATATGGCGGGTCTTTTCAGCTTGCCCTATCTCACAAAAATACCGAGGGGCAGTCAAGGGGGACAAAGTTTAGAAGACGGAAAATGATCTATAAAACGGATTATTTGTAGTCTCCAGGCAAACCGGAATGACGACACACTTTCTCACTCACCTCGAATGACCTTCACGTTGAACCGGAGCCTCCGGAGAGCTTCTTCTGCATTGAAGTTGCATTTCACCAATTCGTACAAGGCCTACAGAGGATGCAGAGGCAAATGGGACACAGCTGGTTAAGAGGCCACTGAATGAACAGTGGTACCTAGTTTATTTTAACTCTTGCACTACGTATTTTATAGAAATTCATTGTAATGTTTTATTACTATGTTTTTTTAACAATACTGTGCCCTGCCTCAAGCCATGAGGAGAGACAGGTAAGAAATAACGTAATAATAACAACTATAATAACAAGAATAACAATTGTACTGAATGTTTTTTGATGCTATCTTTTTAACAATGTTATGTATGCGTGTGTATGGTCGGGGTGTTCCCTAACACAGGCAACCTTCTGCCTCCACAAACAGCGATAGCTCCCACCACTCAGGAGACACCAATGGCCCTCCCTCCAATGACATTGCCAGGTTATAGTGAGCGCCATGAACATGTCCAAGAGCCCTGCCAATGTCCTCCACAAACACCTTATTGCCTACCAAGTGAAGAATTTCATACTGGGACAATTTCATCCTAGATTTTATGTTTTTCCTCCACCACAGACATCCCAGTGTTCTTACTTTCTCCATTGGTGTGGAATTTGCATCACTCTGCCCACTGCCTCTCCTTTAACCCTTTCCTACTCTTTTCTATGGCACACAGCAAACAGAGGAATTGATCAGCAACTGAACATACTAGAGAGGTTTGGGGAGAATTCACCGTGATTTATAGGAGTTGTAGGTACTGGGATGTATAGTTCACCTGCAATCAAAGAGCACTCTGAACCCCACCAGTGCTGGACCTGGACCAAACTTGGCACACAGAATTCCCATGATTTACTCAACCTACTGGAGGGGACTGATTCACCATAGTGGGAGTTGCAGTTTGCCCTACAGCCATGAAACTCACCGATGATGCATCTTGGGCAAACTTTCCCAACATAACAAACTTTAAGTACTGATGAAGTTTCTCGGGGTTAACCTGGCATGATGTGTTTACCCACAACCTTATGCATTTTGTACAATTAAAAAATTGACTTTTTCAAATAACCCAGACAATGCCAGGGACCCAAGCTAGTAGTAGTAGTAGTAACAATAATAATAATAATAATAATAATAATTTTACTGAATGATTATGTGTTTTTAACTATGTTATGCTCTGCCTCAAGCTGTGAGGAGAGGCCGGTAAGAAATATAATTCTTATTATTATTTACTTCACTTATATACTGTTTTTCTCACCAGGGGGACGGGAGGGGGGGGGGGAACGGAGGGGGGGGGGGACTCAAAGTGGTTTCCAACATATTTATGGCAAAATTTAATGCCTTACATACATATGAAACCTAACATAAAACAACAACAACGTATCACTGTCAATTAGATCATAAAAACGTAACAACATTTGGACATTAAAACGTGGAGTTAAAAACATATTAATATAAACATTAAAATCACATAATCAAAAGATCGTAGTCCAGGCCATTCCAAATATCTAATATCAATTGCAGCACAAAATCCCTGATCATTCCTTGTATTGCTTACTACCCAAAGGCTTGGTCCCATAGCCAAGTTTTCACTTTTTTCTGAAGGCCAGGAGAGAGGGTGCTGATCTAATTTCATTGGGAAAGAGTTCCAGAGTCAAGGAGCCACCACTGAGAAAGCCCTGTCTCTTGTCCCCACCAGTTGCACCTGCAAGGGAAGTGGGACCGAGAGCAAGTCCTCCCCAGATGATCTTTACCTCCGAGATGGTTCATAGAGGGAGATAAGTTCGGACAGGTAAGCTGGGCCAAAACCGTTTAGGGCTTTATAGGCTAAAGCCAGAACTTTGAATTGTGCTCGGTAGTAGACTGGCAGCCAGTGGAGCTGGTGTAACAGGGCGGTTGTGTGCTCTGTGTACGCCGCTCCAGTAAGCAATCTGGCTGCTGCCCATTGGACTATTTGAAGCTTCTGAACAAAGACAACCCCACATAAAACGTGTTGCAATAGTAGATTCGGGATGTAACCAGAGTGTGAACTACTGTGGCCAAGTCTGACTTCCCAAGGTATGGGCGCAAATGGTACACAAGCTTTGATTGTGCAAAAGCTCCTCTGGCCACCGCTGAAACCTGGTGTTCCAGGCTCAGCAATGAATCCAGGAGAACTTCATAATCTTCATCTATGGAGATTATAAAATCGGAAGAGACCCCAAAGGCCATCCTTGGGTACATAAGGATACATAAGATACATAAGATATCACAGAATCCTAGAGTTGGAAGGGAACCCAAAGTGCCATCCAGGTCTGAATTTCGAGTTAAGAAAAAAAATAGGAACCTTGGATGAGGAAACTATCCTTCTCTGTGGAAAACCTTGGGCAGCCACAAGAGTTTCTCAACCCATTTATTTTCTGTGGCATGTGGCACACTTAACAGGGAACAGCTGGCATGCTCACCTGTTCATTATCCTTCACTGCCTCTCCTTCCACAAGGTTGACATTGGAGACCCCATCCCACCGCCTCTTGATGGCACGGAACAGGAACTCTTCGACATCTTGCTCCGGGAGGATGTTTGGGTCCCAAAGCAACTGGTCTTCATTTTCGTAGACTGCTAGAAAAAAGATCATGTGAAATTCCACCTGGTGAGACAACAGTCCACGGGAAAGGGATCTTGGAGTCTTAGTAGAACACAAGCAGAACATGAGCCCACAGTGTGATGCAGCAGCCAATGCGATTCTAGGTTAGCGTTTGGTAGAGATGTGCAAAGCAGTTAAATCCGATTAGTAAAATGATTTCGGATGGCTTCTGCTTCATTTCATAATAATCCAGAGGGATCCTGATGCGTTTTGTAAACCAAATCTCCAAAGCTTTATAACCGAATAGGAAGATTTGTTCCATTAATGGCAATGGGAAAAATTTCTAGGGTTGTTTCTCAATCATTTTTATGGCTATCAGGATGAAACTTGGCACACTTGTAGGCAACATTTATGACTTTAAGCCTGCAATGTTACAGAACGTTTCAGTCATCCACTGAACATAATAGAGAGGTTTGGGGGGAAATTCACCATGATTTACAGGAGTTGTAGGGACTGGGATGTATACTTCACCTGCAATTTAAGAGCACTCTGAAGTCCACCAACAATGGTCCTGGATCTAACTGGGCACACAGAAGCCCCCTGACCAACAAAAAATACTGGAGGTCTTTGGAGGAAATTCATCCTGATTTGGGGAGTTGTAGTTCACCTAAATCCAGAGAGCGCTGTGAACCCAAACACCGATGGATTTGGACCAAACTTGTCACCCAGACCTGATATGTTGAAATTTGATTACTGGAGGGGTTTGGGGGGAACTGACCTTGCTTTCTAGGAGTTGTAGTTCACTCACAACCAGAGAAACTGTGACCTCCACCGATGATGGACCTGGACCTTGGCACACAGAACCCCCATGACTAACAACCTACTGGTGTGGTTTAAGGGGACTGACTCACCATAGTGGGAGCTGTAGTTTATCCTACAGCCAGAGAGCTCACTGAACCCCACCCAGGATGCATCTAGAGTAAACCTGCCCAACATAACAAACTTTAAGTACTGATGGATTTTTTTCGGGGTTAACCTGGCATGATGGGAGATGTAGTTCACCCACAATCTTATGTATTTTATACAATTAAAATTTTACTTTTTCAAATAACACGGGTAATGGCTAGTAATTTTAAAAAAACTACCCGAGGTAGCCCATTGAATTTCTGCACAATGAGGCAACATAAGCAAGGCATCAATCCTGCAAAGTTTCAGAAACATTTGCTCAACTACTCATTACAAGGATTTTTTTAAAGTTGAAAGACATCTCTCAAGCATATATCTTTCTCTTTCTCCTACAAACTCCACAAAGAAACACAGACACCGAGGAGACCAACTTTGCAGAAAGTCATGTGATTGGCTGACAAGGAAAAAAACAGCATGTAGCTGCCATTGTCAATCACATCAGTCTCCTCCCACCTCAGACAATTATGGAGTATGTTACATTGAAAAAGAAACACAGCTTGAAACACTCTTAAACAAATCTTAACTAGTATATCCGAATCTTTTTGGAGACTTCTGTTTCATTTTGTATCGTTTTGTAGGGGGTCCCGTTCCAATTAGTAATTTGGAGATTTGTATTAATGAATCTGTTGTAGCCTGAGGCTGTTGGGTTCACTAATGCTTTGGAGAGGATTGTGGGATATCCTGGGGCACGAAGATTCAAATCAGGGAAATGATGGTTCTCTCTGTAAGTCAGAAAGTGCAGGACTTCAAGGTCAGTCAGAAGAGCCAGAAACCGCAACATTAGATAAGGAGTCGGGCAAAGAGCTAATTGATACTGAAGGCTGTCATGGGAAAACACCGGAAGCTATGGATATCAACAAAAGTCTTCATTTACAGATTACAGCAGAAAATAGGCAGCGCTGATCAGAGAAGATTACATTGGAAAGTTGTGGAGAAAATTCAAGGAAAATGGAAGGACTTTATGGGTGCCTATTAATTAGCAAGTTGTTTACCTAAGGGTTAGTTCAGGCAACGTAGCATTTGAATGAGAAGTGAGGCCTGAGTTCTCTGGTTCTTGTTTCAAGTCAAGCCTTGGTTTGGGATTCAAGTATCCTGGAAGTTTTCTATGTTCTTGCTTTTGTATTCATGCTCAAGTTTTATTAAGTACTAGCTGTACCCGGCCACGTGTTGCTGTGGCCCTCAGAAAACAGAGGATTTGCAGACATGAAGCAACCTGGGCTGGGGAACTCCTCCCAACCAAAGGTTTCCTGCTGGCTAATAGAAGCCAGGATGTTAAGGTGCAAGGTGGTAGGGAAAATAATGAGAAGCAGCCACTGAAGCTGCAAGGCTTCTCAGTTATATTCATGCTGGCCAAAACACTCCAAAAAGCCTCTTTGAAACAGAGGCTGGGTGGCCATCTGTTGGGGGTGCTCTGAATGTGATTTTCCTGCTTCTTCACACAATGGGGTTGGCCTGGATGGCCTACCAGGTGTCTCCCAACTCTAGGGCTCTCTGATTCTATATTTTTCTCTTCCCTTCACCAGTTTCCCTCTTTCTTTCCGTCTGTCTCTCTGTCTTTCTTTCTTTGTTCCTTCCTCTTCTTCCCTTCCTTTCCTCTCCCATCCCTGCCTCCTTTCCCTTCCTTCCTCTTTCTTTCCTTCTACCTTTCCTTCCATTCATAATCTTCTCTTCTCTTCACCAATCCTTTTCTTCATTTCTTCTCTCCTTTCCCTTTCTTTCATCTCCTTCCTCCGGGACAGTTTGTAAAGTGGGTCACCAGGGGGGGGGGGGGGGGCGGTGTGCAGCCGTTCCTGCAGCCAGGCTTGCCTTGCAATCCTCTGGTCTTGGGGGAAGAGTTGCCTGGTAGCCACGTGGGCCTCATGGAGCCGCTGCGGTGGCTCCAGCTGCTGCTGGGGCTTGCCTCACCAAGCCCCCACCCCTCCATTGGGCCAGGCCTTCTCCTTCCTTCCTTCCCTCTTTCCCTCCCCAAAAGAAAAAGCACCCTGCCTTCCTGCATGGAAAGGGACTCCATGGCGAGGCTTCTCTTCCCTCACAACGGTTGGTGCTTCATTCTTCTCGTGCAATGGGGAGAGGGGCTTTTGCGCATGCTCTGTAAGGCATTTTTCTTTTGGGGGGAGTTTTAAGTTATTTCCCTTTCAGTTTTTTACGGGTTTTTTTGTTTGAAAGACATAGATTGGATTAGAATGTGTTTTGCTGCCAAATTTGGTGTCAATTCCCCCAGTGGTTTTGGAGTTATGTTAAACCCACAAACAAACATTACATTTTTATTTATATAGATTTCATTTGCTTGTAGACTTATGCTGTACTTGTGATTTCTTGGCTATTCCTGGACTGTTTTACCTTGGGATCTGCTTGAGACATTTTGTCATCACCTATTTTTAACCTTTTTAAAAAATTACACATCTTTCTTTATTCCTGATTTTTCATATATTTTATGTGTTCTTACAATATACTGTTTGCTTATACTCTGGACTCTTGTGTGGTGCTGTGGTCATGTTGCCTGGGGTGCAACAGAATCATACAAATCTCCGAAGTATATGAAATGGGCCTCCAAAGCTTTGCACAGTCCTAGTATTTTGACATTTGGCTTGAAACAGTTTCTCTGCAAGGGATGCATCAATTGAAGTCTAGTGTCGAGATGGAGGGAAGGAAGTCCTCTTACCTTTTTCACTGTGTTGGTATAAGTTGAGGAGGGGAACTGCTGCCTGGTACTGAGGCCCAACCATAATCTCCTGCAAATTAGAAAAAAAAGGAGAATGCATCTATTTTACATTTTCTTGAGAGAATGCATCAACTATTTGCTTCCTGGAATGGAGTTCAGGGCTGACTTGCTCCAGAACCCCTTCCTTGTCTTTTCAGCAGTTCACTATCTCCACAAAACCCTAATCCAGCCCCACATTACAGACAAGTTTGATTTTCCTCCTTTCAGCCTTCTCTACGGTGAAGTTTTTACAATCATAGATAAACATTGGAAATACACTGGCGTTGACGATCCTAACTTTGGCATTCTGATATATCTTTATACTTTGGGGTTTTATCCTGGTTCTTCCATAGCTGCTATGCCAAGTTTTAGAAAGAAGTGTCTCAAGATGACAAATGACATTTTTAACAGTTTCACTAATCTATACACATAATAAAAGTGAAAATATGTATGTGTGTATGTGGCAGGACCCTCCTCCAATGACATTGCAGGTCATAGCGAGAGCCATGAACATGTCCAAGAGCCCTGCCAATGTCCTCCACAAATATCATACAGGAACAATTTCTTCCTAGATTTTATGTGTTTCCTCCACCACAGACATCCCAGTGTTTCTGACTCTCTCACTTGGTGTGGAATTTGCATGATCCCACCCACTGCCTTTCCCTTAACCTTTCCTATGGCGCACAGCAAACAGAGAGGAAATGATCAGCAACAGAACGTAATGGAGGGGTTTGGAGGCCTGACTCCACATGATGGAAGTTGTAGTTCAGCCTGTATCAAGACACAGCACTGGGACCCACACTGACAATGGACTTGGATCTCATTTGGCACACAGAACCCCCATGACCAACACAAAATACTGGAGGGGTTTGGGAGGAATTCATCTTGATTTATAGAAGTTGTAGGTACTGGGATGTATAGTTCATCTGCAATCTAAGAGCACTCTGAACTCCACCAAGGATGGACCTGGAACTAACCCAAGAATAGACCGGGACTACACTTGGCACACAGAACCCCCATGACCAACTGAACCTATTGAAGGGGTTTGAAGGGACTGACTCACCATGGTGGGAGTTGTAGTTTACCCTGCAGCCAGAGTGCACTAGGACCCCACCAATGATGCATCTAGAGCAAACTTTCTCAAGATGGCAAACTTTAAGTACTGATGGGACTTTTTCAGGGTTAACCAGGCATGGTGTGAGTTGTAGTTCACCCACAATCTTATGCATTTTGTAACATTAAAAAATTGACTTCTTCAAATAATCCAGGCAACGTTGAGTACAAAGTTAGTAATAAATAATATCTGTGTACTCATAAAACATTATTCTTTGAGCACCTGAGCAACTCTCTTTTTTCTGTTGATTATATTCGGTGTGCCAGTTTTATTGTTGTTGTTCTTGTTGTTGTTACTATACCTTGCTTCTTCTCTCTAAAAAGAGACTCAAAGCGGCACACAGTACAAACCAAACAAATACAATTTAAAACCTAAATATAGAATTAAATATTAATGGCTCATAGCTAAAACCTCGGCACCCTCTGACCACCTTAAAAAATCCTTCTTTAAAAGCCTGCCTTATTTTCCTTCCATTCAAGCCCTAACTTTGATGACAGTCTCTATATTGAGATGACTCAAGCCAAGAGATAGCACCTTAATGGCTTAACCATTATGTCCGCACAAAATGTATAAAAACCAATAATGCTGGGCTCCAGAGCCCCAAGATGTACCTTCTTGCAGTCATTTCTGGGGATAGAGTCTTCTTCGGAGTCCTCCGCTGAGAAAGTAGCAGAAGGGGAAGAGCAGTGGCCCTTGTCTTCGTCGGCAAGGAAGCCCGCTTTGAGAGAGATATAAAAAGCAAGACTTTACTTCTCATTCCTTTTTATTTTAAATGGAAATTTCCAAACCACTGAATAAACCTTACAGCCAGTTTGATTGCGGAAAAGATCCGAGGCATCGTGGGATGTGACTGAAGGTGTGAGATCGTCGGCTGAAGACTGTGTCTCCTCTTCCTCTTCCCCGGAAAGGAGATCCTTTGCTATTTGTTCCTGGAAGGAAAAGAGGTGAAAACTGTAAAAATAATCATTAATCTGCATATTAATAACTAGCCGTCCCCTGCCACGCATTGCTGTGGCCCAGGCTGGTGATCTGGAAAATAAAGTAATGTGAAAGTGTTGGTTTCTAATATATGTAATTTCTTTATGCTTGTGGGTAAACAGTATGTGATTATGTTTTCTTGCCCTGGTGAAGGGAGTTGGACTGGATGGCCATAAGTATGTTCTATTGGTCACAGGGGTTCTGTGTGGGAAGTCTGCCCCAATTCTATCATTTGTGGGGTTCAGAATGTTCTTTGATTGTAGATGAACTATAAATCCCAGTAACTACAACTCCCAAATGACAAGGTCTATTTCCCCCAAACTCCATCTGTGTTCCTAGTTGGGCATATGGAATATCCGTGGCAAGTTTGGTCCAGATCCATCATTTTTTGAATCCACAGTGTTCTCTGGATGTAGGTGAACTACAACTCCCAAACTCAAGTTCAATGCCCACCAAACCCTTTTAATATTTTCTGTTGTTCCTGTGTGCCACGTTTGGTTCAATTCCACCTGCCCTTTGGGGGAGGTAGAGAGGAAAATAAATAAAGTTTTATTATATTATTATTATTATCATTAGTGGTTTGGAAATTTCCATTAAATAATCAGAATGCACTTTGTAGGTGAACGATAAATCCCAGCAACTACAACTCCCAAATGACAAAATCAATTTTTTGAGTGATGGTCACTCCTTGGGTTAGTAGGTGTCCTGAGGCCAAATTTGGCGGCAATTCGTCCAGTGGTTTTTGAGTTATGTTAATCCCACAAACGAATATTACATTTTTATTTATATAGATGGCTGAGGACAAGGTTACAAAATAACTGCCTGTGCTCAATATGTTGAAAAAGACTTTTTAAACATGTTGGAGAGGGGTATGGTTTTAATTCTGTTTCATATATGTTTAATGTAGGTAGATGTATGTGCGAAAAAGCATTGGGAAGACTGAATCCCCTTTTAAGCCAGCTCCATCTGATGAAACTTGTGATGTGCAGTTTGTCTCAGGGAAGCATACTTGCTCCATCAATTTTTAACATTTACACAAATGACCAGCCACTGCCAGGAGGGACAGAGAGTTTAATCTATGCTGACGATCATGCCATTACCACTCAAGCAGGGAGCTTTGAAACAGCTGAAACGAAGCTCTTCAAAGTGTTAGGTGGTTTTACTGCCTATAATAGGGAAAACCAGCTGATTCAGAATCCATCTGAAACGCAAATGTTTGCTTCTCACCTTAAGGACAGACAAGCATCCCGAGCTCTGAGGATGATCTGGGAAGGAATCCCACTGGAGCATTGCAGCACACCCAAATACCTTGGAGTCACTCTGGACCATGCTCTGAATTATAAGAAGCACTGCTTGAATATCAAGCAAAAAGTGGGTGCTAGAAATAACATCACAGGAAAGCTGACTGGCACAACCTCGGGATGACAACCAGACACATTGAAGACATCTGCCCTTGCATTTTGCTACTCTGCTGCTGAGTACGCATGCCCAGTGTGGAATACATCTTACCATGTTAAAACAGTGGATGTGGCTCTTAATGAGGCATGCTGCATTATCATTACAGCAAGTGAGAGCCCTAAAGTGGGAGGCTAAAACCCGGAACCTCAATCAATGGCTGAGACCAGATGAAAGACTCTCTCCTGGGCACACAGAAGACTGGGCAACTTGGAAGGCTGTGCTCTGGCACCACAAGATGCAGAGTTAACCTAAAGAAACGGGGCCACAAAGTGGAGTCCACGACATGCAAGTGTGAAGAGCACACAACAGACCACCTACTGCAATGCAGCCTGAGCCCTGCCACATGCACAATGGAGGACCTTCTCACAGCGACACCAGAGGCACTCCAAGCGGTCACATTTAGCATAATGCCAAGTTTTTAACTTCGTTTGTGTTTTTAAATACATTATAATTGTATTCTCAATTTTTCTTCTGACACGATAAAGAAATCTGATGAAACAAGTCACCTCTTTTACTACTGTATACAGCAGGCATGGGCAAACTTGGGCCTTCCCTCCAGGTGTTTGGGTCTTCAACTCCCACAATTTCTAGCAGCCCAACGGCTGTTAGGAATTGTGGGATTTAAAGTCCAAAACACCTGGAGGGCCGAAGTTTGCCCTTTCCTGGTTCATCTGCAATCAAAGAGCACTCTGGACTCCATCAACGATGGCCCTGGACCTTACTCGGCACACAGAACCCCCATAACCAACTGAAAATACAGGAGGGGTTCATCCTGCAGCCAGAGAGCACACCGATGATGCAACTAGAGCAAATTTGCCCAACATAACAAACTTTAAGTATTGATGGAGTTTCAGGGTGGTAACCTGGCATGATGTGAGTTGTACTTCACCCACAACCTTATGCATTTTGTACAATAAAGAAATGACTTCTTTTAATAAACCGGGCAACGCTGGATACCCAAGCTAGTGTACAATAAAATACATAAACAAAAACACATCATTATAGAAAAATACAAATTAGATAAAAAAATTTGAAAAACTGGAAAAGAGGACAGGAAGAACATGTGATAGTATGAGAAAACATGAGTACCAGTTTTGACTCTGGATGACAAGAGTGTGTCCTTTTCTGTTATAGAGGACATCTGGAACTTTCAAAACTTTAGACGATCTGTATAATAGTACTTGAGTTGAAGATATAAACTTAATAATGATAATAAATATAAGGTTTCTCTTCCCCCTCAATCATCTTTCTTTTCCTCGGTGACAAAGTGGACATTTACATAGTTCTAATCTACTTATCATCCCCTTCTTTATTCTCCTTTTTTCTTTGAAAAGCATAACAAAAACTTATAAAACAAAAACATACACCAATAAGGTCCCCTTCGCTCAATGTGGGGTTCATGAAAAATTTGGCAACAGGAAAAAATTCCAGAACGCCACCTAGTGGCTGTTGTAGATGTTTACACAAATCTGTTGTGTGGTGTTTGCAAAAGATGCTTCAGCTGTACTTCATAAAAAGGTAAAAATCAGTCCGTTCAGCCAGCTTTGCCAACACTGATTTGCTATCAGATTGATCATGTACCTTGTCCAAGGTCATGTCCGGGAGGTTTGGGGCAGCATCATTGCTCTCGCTCTCCTGCTCAGAAGAGATGGGGTCAGAGGCCTCATAGCCATAGAGCGCCAGCAGTTCCTCAAAGGGCATTTCCGTGTTCTGAAAAAGAGAGAGGAGCAAACGCCACATTAGAAGCAGATAATCCTCGAGTCAGAAAAGAGAGGCTCCCTTTGGGGTTGCAATAGGTTGGAAATGACCCGAATCTAGGAAAAGATTGGATTTCTCTACTATATAATCCTTGGGAGTCCCATTATCTTCACTAGACATGTGTATGTCAGGGGGCTCGTGTAATAATAATAATAATTGTATTTTTCCCGACTCTCCTTGTGTCTTGAGGTAGAGTTATATCATAGCTTAAAACACATAATCATAAACATAATAAAATATACATATATTAAAACATATTTGTCCCTATTCAGAAAAAATCACCTCCATTTCTGTCCCTGTGACAATTGGATTTTGAAAAAATTGGCTTATTGTGGAAACAAGGATTGGTGATAAAGCTTCGGTAGAGACAACTTTCCCCCCCTGATAATAACTCTTCCAGGAATGAATTTCCCTTCCTTCCAAGGGGTAGATTAAGATTTCTCTCACTTTCTGCTATCTCATCCCCGTTCTTAACTATGAGTCATTTGTAAGTTGGATGCTTGTAAGGGACTGCCTGTATATGAAAATACACAGAACAAAAATGAAACTATAATGAACACATGGCATGAGATTAAAACGCAGTTAACATTGACTGGGTAGGCCTGCCGGAAGAGATAGGTCTTGAATGGTCTCTTAAATTCCGACAGATCATATAGCCAGCAATGATGACATATTCAATCCTATAGGGTTGCATTATATTCAGCAAAGAAAGCTTCCTGTACATATTGCACCTGGAGAGTGACATCCAGCTGAGCTTTTCAGAGTGAGGTGAGGTTTGATGCAGGCCTCCCCACTCCAGACCTCTTGCCAGAACCTTCGGTAGTGCACCATGATGCCTTTAATGACCACTTCACAGATAAACTCTCTCACATAAAAGCTGACTTGGATCTTAGTATCGATAACAAAATGTCCAGCAATCCACTGTGCTACTGAACTGCTGACCTGAAGGTTGGGTGAACTGCTGACCTAAAGGTTGGCAGTTTGAATCTGCGAGACGGGGTGCGCTCCTGTCTGTCAGCTACACTTCCTGCCAACCTAGCAGTTCAAAAACAAGCATTCATGTAATGGCACACAGGTAAATCACTTGTTAAACTGATTAACCATTTCTCTGAACTGCCAGGGACAAAGACATGCCATTGCATAAAAACATGTACTTAGCTAGCAGAGTTCTGAAAATGTTTCTTTGAAGTTGAAGTTGTAGTTGCCCAAAATATATACTCTCCTTTGAAACCTCTTAGTTTAAAATATACACTCAAAGACAAAAAACAAAGTCTTTTTTTTTTAAAGTGGCATATCTTGTTTACTCACAAACATCTTGTATTAATTTAGCATACAGGCACATTTCTTATTACAGTTCAGGTACAGCTATTAATCAATAGCCCAAAGTCTTTAAGTATACATCTTACAAAAGTCCAAACTGTATAACTGTACTCACTGCTTCTCAAATCAAACATATAGCAAACTGTTCAAAAGACATCTGCTTCTATTGAAGTCCAAAAGCATACTTCATCCACTTCCACTGAGGTCTAAAGCAAACTGCTAACACTGAAGTCCAAAAACATACTGATGACAAAATAGAGTCTTGCGTCGGAACATGCTCAGTACAATCACATATCTGTAGCACCCACATCAAAGAGGTCAGTCATACAATATAGGCTAGCAAATATATACATTAACAAACATATAGTGAAGCCTTGGAAGGTTTCTATTTCCAACAGAAAGCACGTGCCCAGAGCCAGAGATGAGCACTACCTCCAGAAGCCAGAAATGAAAGGAGAAGCCTCTGCCTTTGTTTGTGTGTTTCATTGTATATGATTGTAAAGGCATTGAATGTTTGCCGATGTATGTAAATGCTGTAATCCACTCTGAGTCCCCTAGGGGAGAATGGCGGAATTTAAATAAATTAATCCCTGTGAGAGGGATTAATTGGTTTCAATTGGTGACTACTTCTGATGAGGACAAGAAAGAAGGACAACCCGTTTTCTCGATCCCTGCTCCTCTTGGTTAGTCTTTCAGGGAGGAGATCCAATTCGATCAACTCTTCTGGTGTTAACAAGAGATTTCCTCGTACAATTTTGTGAGACATCAAGCACTGAACCGGGACTTTTTTTCCCTACCTGGGAGGCATGGAAGCTCTTCTCTAGATCGTCAAAAGGCTTTGCTTTCCCCTGTTCGTGGTCCTGGTGGTGCTCTTCCGCCTCTTCCTCCTCCTCTTCCGTCTCTTCCCGCACCCCGTAGTTCTGCGACAGGATCTCAGCCAGGTTGAAGCGGTGGTCAGCTGAGCCCATAGAAACCACTGCAGGGATTGAGTGAGAAAGTGAGATTGAGTGACAAAGGGATGGCAACCGTAACTCATCATACCATCCATTGCTCCAACATTAACAACCACAACAATACATTTTATTTGTTACCTGCTGCTCCTAGCGGCTCGAGGCAGGGCACAACAAAGTCAAAACATATGAACATCAAATTGCCACCAAAGTAGGAAGGAAACCAATAGTCAGACAACCAGAAAATAAGAACAACCTTCACAAACTTTTTACATCTACTGAACTGGACATGGCTCTCAATAAATGTAAAAAGGGCAACACGGCTGGCCTGGATGATCTACGGATGGAACAAATTAAGAACTTTGGCCCAAAAGCAAGGTGCTGGCTGCTGGAGTTGATGAATAACTACACTGCATCCTGTCAGATCCCCAAAATCTGTGGGAAAGCAAGAGTCATAGCCATCTTGAAACCAGGCAAAGACCATAATGACCCAAACAGTTATAGACCAATCTCCTTGCTGTCCCATCTTTACAAAGTTCTGGAGAGGCTTATTTTGCATAGAATTATGGAAAAAACAGACCCATGTATGATTCCACAGCAAGCTGGAAAGGCAAAAGCTGCACATCACGAGTGTCGAACCTGACTCAGTACATAGAAGATGGTTTTGAAAGGCAGCAGATTATAGGAGTGGTCTTCATACACCTGTCAGCAGCCTATGACACTGTAAATCATCGCCTTCTCCTGAGAAAAAACTTATAATATCACAAGGGATTACCATCTCACCTGCTTCATAGGAAATCTGCTACAAACCGGGACCTTTTCTGTTGAATTCCAGGGCTGAAGAAGCAGATGCCAAAAACAGAAGAACGGCATGCCTCAGGGGACTGTGCTTGCTCCATCAATGTTTAACATTTACACAAATGATCAGCCACTGCCAGAAGGGATACAGAATTTCATGTACGCTGATGATCGTGTCATCACTGCCCAAGCAAGGAGCTTTGAAATGGTTGAACAGAAGCTCTCTGAAGTGGTAGGTGCTTTTACTGTCCATTACAGGGAAAACCAGCTAATCCCTAATCCTTCTAAAACACAGATGTGTGCTTTTCACCTTAAGTACAGACAAGCATCTCAAGTTCTGAGGATTACTTGGGAAGGAATCCCACTGGGGCATTGCAGCACACCAAAATACTTGGGAGTTACCCTGGACCGTGCTCTGACTTAGAAGAAGCACTGCTTGACCATCAAGCAAAAAGTGGGCGCTAGAAATAATATCACATGAAAGCTGACTGGGGCAACCTGGAGATCACAACCAGGCACAATGAAGACATCTGTCCTTACACTTTGCTACTCTGCTGCTGAATACTCATGCCTAGTGTGGAACACATCCCACCATGTTAAAACAGTGGATGTGGCTCTTAATGGGACATAATGCACAGGATGTCTATGCTCAACGCCACTGGAGAAATTATACTGTTTAGCTGGTATTGCATCACCTGACATCTACCGGGAAGTAATAGCCAACAATGAAAGGACCAAGGCATTGACATCTCTGGCCCATCCCCTGTTCGAATATCAGCCAGCATGCCAACGTCTTAAATCTACAGAGATACTAGCAAGAACACCTCAGCAAGCGAGAGTCCAAAAGTGGCAGGCTAAAACTCGAAACCTCAATCAGTGGCTGATACCGAATGAGGTATTCCCCCCCTGAACACACAGAAGACTGGGTGAATTGGAAGGCACTGAACAGCTGTGCTCTGGCACCACAATATGCAGAGCCAACCTTAAGAAATAGGGCCACAAAGTAGAGTCCACAACATGCGAGTGTGGAGAAGAGCAAACCACAGACCACTTATTACAATACAGTCTGAGCTCTGCCACATGTACATTGGAGGATCTTCTTATAGCAACACCAGAGGCACTCCAAGTGGCCAGCTACTGGTCACTTAGTATAATGCCAAGTTTTTTTAAAGTTTTTTTTGTTTTTAAATACAGTAAAATGTACCCTTAGTTCATTTCTGACACAATATATAAAATAACATCAAATACATAGATAAAATGTATTATTATTATTATTATTATTATTATTATTATTATTATTATTATTTTCCCATAAGTTTTTATTATGTATTTAAAAAATACATAATCTTAGCATCTTAACATCAAATCCATATTCAGCTGTTAATGAAATACAGGAGGAAAACAGAAAGGATCTTGAGAGCTTCCTCAAAAGATCAACTCTGAATTTGCTCAGAGTAGGAGGCCAAAACCAATAAGGTCTTTTCTCTGGTTACTATCAATCTAATTCAATTTACCAAGTGGCCCCAGAAACAGGTCTCTAAGGTCAGGCAGGGTCATAAAAGGGCCACCAATCCTGTGTTCTCCTATTGTTTGAGACTTCAGAGGTCAAACACTGCGCTGCACATTGAATCCAGAATATAAAATGGCATGGCTGATTTGATATACTAGGTACTGACACAGATTAGTCCAAGGGTGGGGAAAGTGAGCGTCGAGGATCAATGGGAGATCACTTTCAAGGATGGGAATAGCACAGACCGGTGAATATATTTAAGTACCTGCCGTGGTATGAAGGCTGGCTCTTCCAGGACATAGATTGTGGGCAGGGTAGGATATAACCCTGGGGCTTTGCCTCCCAATTGAGGCCTGTGAAAAAAGAAAAAAAATCCATTATTATATATGTTTAATTACTTTTAAGCTTTGTCCCTATATAACAGGGCTGGGTAGCGATGTAATAGGTTCCATCAGCTCTTGCCAGTCTTACCAATGGGGAGCACTGATGTAGTTTGTCAGCACCTAGAGGACCAAAAGTTCCCCAGCCCTGCTATAAAAGCATGCAAGGTGTTGTCTATCGTGAATCCCCAACTAAGGGCCCTTCCAGACAGGCCCTATATTCCAGGATCTGATCCCAGGTTTTCTGTTTATTCCAGATTATGTGGCAGTGCGGACTCATACAATCCAGTTTAAAGAAGAAACCTGGGCTCAGATCCTGGGATCTAGGGCCTGTCTGGAAGGGCCACAAATCTCTTGGCTCTACTCTTCCCTAACTAGTTCTATGCAAATCAAATACAGAAAGCCCCCAAGTTACGGACAAGATAGGTTGGGAAGTCTGACTTGACCATGGTAGTCCACGCTCTGGTTACATCTTGTATAGACTACTGCAACGTGCTCTATGTAGGGCTGCCTTTGAAAACTGTTCGAACACTTCAAATGGTCCAGCGTGTGGCAGCACTTTTATAGTTTTTATGGTTTTTATATGTATTAGGATGTGATCTAATTGTTTTAACCCGCGTATGTATATTTATATATACAATTTATAATTGTTGCTGGTCTGTACGCTGCCCTGAGTCACCTTTGGGCTGAAATGGGCGGGATAAAAATGATGTAAATAAATAAATAAAATAAATTAATTTGTACATAAATCGGAACAAATACATTTTAAAGTGTAACTCCAGCCATACATCTATATATATATATACATATACACACACACACACATATATACATATATGCACATACACACACACACACACACTATTGGGCAGACCTTGTATTCGATGGGACAAACCCATGGTTACGCTATTCAGCCAGAAATGGAAAAGAAAAGCACAGGATCGTGTATTTTGGCAAATAGTAGATTTGCTTGAAACTCAAAGGAGTGGATCGACAATGGATAGGAGATATATATATCTGTATTCATAATAAAAGTGAAAATGTCTATGTTTGTGTGTGGCTGGGGTGCTCACTTCCACAGACAGGCTCCCGCTTCCATAGCTTTAACCCACAATGCTGAAGAGCAACCAAAAGCCCTCCCTCTAATGACATTTCAGGTTATAGCGAGCACCATGAACACGAACAACCCCAACACCATAATGCACACCACCCAAGTGAAGGCTTTCATACGAGGACCATTTAATCCTAGATTTTACGTATATCCTCCACCACAGACATCCTAGTGTTTCTTACTCTCTCCATTGGTGTGGAATTTGCATTATCCAACCCACTGCCTCTCTCTTAATCCTATCCTACTCTTTTCAACTCTGTCTGCATAACAAACAGAGCAGAACTAATCAGGAACTAAACATACTGAAGGAGTTTGGGGAACAGATTCCACATGATGGAAGTTATAGTTCACCCTGATTAAAATCAGAGAACTATGACCTCCACTGACAGTGGACCTGGACCACATTTGGCACACAGAAGCACCATGACCAACAAAAAATACAGGAGGGCTTTGGAGGAAATTCACCTTGATTTAGAGGAATTACAGTTCACCTATATCCAGAGAGTACTGTGAACGCAAACAACAATGGATCTGCACCAAATTTGGCACGTATGCCAAATTTGAATACTGGTGGGTTTTGGAGGGGAATTGGCCTTGACACTTGTTAGTTGTAGATATTGGAATTTATAATTCACCTGCAGTCAAAAGAGTACTCTGCAACCCACCAATGATGGACTTGGACCTAACTTGGCACACAGACCAACTGAACATCTAGAGCAAACTTGACCAACATGACAAACTTTAAGTATTGATAGAGTTTCAGGGGGTCAACCTGGCATGATGTGAGTTGTAGTACACCCACAACTTTATGCATTCTGAAATGACTTCTTCTAACAACCTGGGCAACGCTGGGAACCCAAGCTAATATGTATATGTGTGTGTGTGTATACACACACACAAGCTTTGGATAGCAAAAGGAATGGTGAACACCCCTATAGTATTTGTTTTGCGGTCTTTGCCCCTGTTCAGAAGGTTTAACCTCACTTCATACCCCTGCAACAACTGGATTTTGAAAAATCTGGCTCGTTGTGGAAACAAGGATTGGTGACAAAGCTTCAATGGAGACACTTCTCCCCATAAATCTTTCAGGAGTGAATTTCCCTCCCAAGGGGTAGATTTCCTGTTGTCTCAGCCCTGTTCTTACCTATGAGTAATTTTAAGTCAGATGGTTGTAACTCAGGGACTGCCTGTAGTTGGCCTCATATGGTTTTTGTTTTAAAAATCTGTTTTAAAATTGATTTCTAAGATTTTTTGCAGAACATGTACTGATAGCTAACCAGTCCGCTTTTCCTTTTTTATTCTCCCATGGCAGAATTCCCAACATTAAGCGAAGGGGACCCCATTGGGAACCATTGCTTGAGAAGTAAGTGATCTTCTGGGCCACTTTCCAACTCCTTGGAAAGGCACCTCTCAAAAATCAACCACTTTGGCAAAATGGGGGGCTACCATTAAGGAAAGCTATCCTCAAAAGGACACATTGGAGCCTCCAATGTGTTATGAGGTATAAAAGTGAAAATATGATTGTACTTATGTATATATGTATCAATGTTTGTATTCGGTTTCCAAGAGGGCACATCCAAAGAGCCCGTGATTCCCACCAAAAACAGATCTTGACCAAACTTGGCACACAGACCACCTGTGACCAAGAAAAACTACTGGAGGGGTTTGGGAGTTGATGGGAGTTGCAGTCCCCCCCCCCCCCCCCCCCATATTTAGATATCCCCGTGAACTCCATCAACAATGGATCTGGTCCAAACTTGATACACAGACCCATGATGACCGACTTTAAATACTGGCGTGGTTGGGGATGGGATGGGACACAATGACAGAAGATGAGTCTCCTAGTGGAGAGAAAAAGTGGAGTAAAAACAAACATCATCATCATCATCATTGGAATTGCAGTCCAGGGATGTCCAGAGAGTACTGTGAACCCCACCAGCAATGGATCTGGATGAAATGTGGTGCACAGACCCATCATGGTCACATCTAAATACTGGAGGGGTTTGGGGGGCAATGGTAGAGGATGATGGAAGTTAAAAATCCACTGAAATCCAGAGAACACTGTGAACCTCATCGACGATGGATCTGGTCCAAATTTGGCACGCAGATCCATCATGACCAAATGTAACTACTGGTGCGGTTTGGTGAGGCAATAACAGAGGATAATTGGAGCTAAGGTACACTGGCATCCAGAGAACACTATGAACTCATTGACAATGGATCTGGACCAATCTTGGCACACAGACCCACCATGACCAAATGTAAACATCGGTGTAGTTTGGTGGGGCAATGACAGAGGATGATGGGAGTTAAAGTCCACTGACATCAAGAGAGCAGTGTGAACCTCAGTGACAATGGATCTGAACCAAACTTGGCACACAGATCCATCATGACCAAATGTAACTACTAGTGTGGTTTGATGAGGCAATGACAGAGGATGATGGTAGTTAAACGGTTCCGGCCCAACTTACCTATCCGAACGTCTCTCCCCTCATGAACCTTGCAGGAATTTAAGATCATCTGGGGAGGCCCTGCTCTTGATCCCACCTGCCTCACAGGTGCGCTTGGTGGGGCCGAGGGACAGGGCCTTCTCAGTGGTGGCCCCTCGGCTGTGGCACCCCCTTCCTGGGGATATTAGATCGGCCCCCTCCCTCCAGACCTTTAGGAAAAGAGTGAAAACCTGGCTCTTTGAGCAAGCTTTTGGAACCTCATTGTAACCAGATAACTCAGTATTGTGAACGAATATGGAATGGCTTAACGATGCAAATGGACATGGATTTTAACCTGGAAGTCCCTTATTTCTCATCCAGTAAGGTAATGCTCAAGATCCTGCAAGGAAGACTCCAGCAATACATGGAGCGAGAGTTGCCAGATGTTCAAGCTGGGTTTAGAAAAGGCAGAGGAACGAGAGACCAAATTGCCAATATCCGCTGGATAATGGAGAAAGGCAGGGAGTTTCAGAAAAACATCTACTTCTGCTTCATTGACTATTCTAAAGCCTTTGACTGTGTGGATCACAATAAATTGTGGCAAGTTCTTGGTGGGATGGGCATACCAAGCCACCTTGTCTCTCTCCTGAGGAATCTGTACAAGGACCAAGTAGCAACAGTCAGAACTGACCACGGAACAACAGACTGGTTCAAGATTGGGAAAGGCGTACGGCAAGGCTGCATCCTCTCCCCCAACCTTTTTAACGTGTATGAAGAACACATCATGCGATGTGCAGGGCTTGATGAATGCAAAGCTGGGGTGAAAATTGCTGGAAGAAACATTAACAACCTTAGATATGCGGATGACACCACTTTGATGGCCGAAAGCGAGGAGGAGCTGAGGAGCCTTCTAATCAAGGTGAAAGAAGAAAGCGCAAAAGCCGGGTTGCAGCTAAACATCAAAAAACCAAGATTATGGCAACAAGAATGATTGATAACTGGAAAATAGAGGGAGAAAATGTGGAGGCCGTGACAGACTTTGTATTTCTAGGTGCAAAGATTACTGCAGATGCAGACTGTGGCCAGGAAATCAGAAGATGCTTCCTTCTTGGGAGGAGAGCAATGTCCAATCTCGATAAAATAGTAAAGAGTAGAGACATCACACTGGCAACAAAGATCCGCATAGTCAAAGCCATGGTATTCCCTGTAGTAACCTACGGATGTGAGAGCTGGACCTTAGGGAAGGCTGAGCGAAGGAAGATAGATGCTTTTGAACTGTGGTGTTGGAGGAAAGTTCTGAGAGTGCCTTGGACTGCGAGAAGATCCAACCAGTCCATCCTCCAGGAAATAAAGCCCGCTGCTCACTGGAGGGAAGGATACCAGAGACAAAGTTGAAGTACTTTGGCCACATCATGAGGAGACAGCAAAGCCTAGAGAAGACAATGATGCTGGGGAAAGTGGAAGGCAAAAGGAAGAGGGGCGACCAAGGGCAAGATGGATGGATGGCATCCTTGAAGTGACTGGACTGACCTTGAAGGAGCTGGGGGTGGTGACGGCTGACAGGGAGCTCTGGCGTGGGCTGGTCCATGAATTCACGAAGAGTCGGAGACGACTGAACGAATTAACAACAACAACAACGATGCAAATGGATATGGATTTAAACCTGGAAGTCATTGATTTTTATAGTTTTAAATTTGTTTTTATATGAATTTTATTATGTGATTTGACCTGTTTTAAACGATGTATTTATGTGTGTTCAGCATCTAACTGTTGCCAGTCTGTATGCTGCCTTGAGTCACCTTCGATCTGAAAAGGGCGGGATAAAAGTGTGGTAAGTAAATAAAATAAAATAAAATAAAATAAATATTAATAATAATGATAATAAACTTTATTTATACCCCGCCACCATCTCCCTGACAGGGACTTGGAGTGGCTTACATGGGGCCAAGCCCGGACAACATATTACAGCAAAAATAAAACCAAACATAAGCAACAAGCATCATAAAGTCCACTGACATCCAGAGTGACTCACCAACGCTGTGTGAACCTCACCAACAATGGATCTAGTCCAAACTTGGCACACAGATCTATCACGACCAAATGTAAATACTGATGTGGTTTGGTGGGGCAATGACAGAGGATGATGGGAGTTAAAGTTCACTGTCATCCAGAAAACACTGGGAAGCTCACCGACAATGGATCTGGACCAAACTTGGTACGCAGATCCATCATGACTAAATGTAACTATCGGCGCAGTTTGGTAGGGTAATGACAGAGGATGACGGGAGTTCAAGTCCACTAACATTTAGAGAACACTGTGAACTCCATTGACGATGGATCTGGACCAAACTTGGCACACAAATCCATCATGACCAACTTTAGCTACCAATGCGGTTTGCGGGGGCGATGGCAGGGGATGATGGGGATTGTAGTTTACCCATATCCCTATGTGCTAATCTGAAGCAAAATACAGAATATTTCTAATATTTACAACAGGCGTGGGCATCGCCGTGCACCAAAGCGTAGTAGGTATATAAAGCAGGTATTAAAAAACAAACACGAAAACATTGTCTGATAATAAACCAACACAATTTCCCCCCTTTATGGATTTTGCAGCCCTGTTTTTTCGCAAAACCTCCACCAATAAGCAAAGAAAGTGGTCCACTTTGTAATCCCCCTCCCCAAAAGAAACCACTTTGTAAAGGGGGGGGGCTCCCATTAAGGAGAGCTAACCCCCAAAAGCCCCCAACTTGCAGCCCACCGCCAGGTCTTACAGAAGCCACCCAAAGGCCCCCAAGGGCCCCACTTCCGGCCCCCCACAAATAAGCTCCACCTGTTTGAGGCAAACCCTCACCAATGTCCCTCCTTCCCCCTTCCAAAGACCCCCAACTTCCTCCCATCAATTCCAGGCCTTCTCCTTAAGAGGAAGGGGGGAGCCCCGACTTTTTGTTTCTTTCTCATAAGTGGGGGGACCCCTCCGTTGACACTCTGGCCACACACTCACCTCCGCCATAGCCGAGTGCGAACGGCCGTGGGGAGGGGGGAGGGGGCGCGAAGGAGCCCCGGATGTCGAGCCGCTCGCTGATTGGCTGCTCCGCGCGAGGGAGGGCGGGGGGAGGAGGGAGAAGAGGCAGAAGGAGGGGAAGGCCTGAGCGAGGTGGAAGGAAGGGGCAGGAGGGACAGAGGCAACAGAGGAGTTCAAAGGGGGGGGAACTGAGGTGGAATATGAGGGGAAAGGAGACGGAGGTAAAATAGAGGAGGCAGGCGGGGAAAAGAGGTGAAATATGAGGGAACTGAGGTACGAATATGAGGGGAAAAGGGCAGCTGGAAAAAAGGTACTGAGGTAAAATATAGAGAGCAGTGAGGTAAAAGAGGAAACAGGTAGAATGTAAGGGAAAAGGAGACAGCTAAAATATAAGGGGCAGGTGGAAAAGGAGGTAAAATGTGAGTTAAAATAGGAGGGAACTGAGGTAGAATATGAAGGAGAGAGAGAAAGGACAGGTGGAAAAGGAAGTAAAATATGAGGGAAAGGGCAGGTGGGAAAAGGGGGCTGAGGGAGCAGGTGGGAAAAGAGGTAAAATAGGAGGTAAATGAGAGAATAGGCAGGTGGGAAAAGGGGACTGAGGTAAAATATAGGGAGCAGATGAGAAAAGAGGTAAAATAGGAGGGAACTGAGGTAGAATATGAGGGAAGGGGACTGCGGTAAAATATGGGGGCAGGTGGAAAAAGAGGCAAATATGGGGTAAAATCTGAGGGAACTGAGGTAGAATATGAGGGAAAAGGAGACTGAGGTAAAATATAGGATGCAGGTGGGGAAAAGAGGTGAAATATGAGTTCAAATAGGAGGAACTGAGGTAGAATATGAGGCGAAAGAGGACTCAGGTAAAATATAGGAGGTAGTTGGGGGAAAACGGTGAAATACGAGTTAAAATAGGAGGGAACCGAGGTAGAATATGAGGGGGAAGAAAGGGCAGGTGGGAAGGGAGGTAAATGAGAGAATAGGCAGGTGGGAAAAGGGGACTGAGGTAAAATATAGGGAGCAGATGAGAAAAGAGGTCAAATAGGAGGGAACTGAGGTAGAATATGAGGGGAAAGGGGACTGCGATAAAATATGGGGGCAGGTGGAAAAAGAGGCAAATATGGGGTAAAATCTGAGGGAACTGAGGTAGAATATGAGGGAAAAGGAGACTGAGGTAAAATATAGGATGCAGGTGGGGAAAAGAGGTGAAATACGAGTTAAAATAAGAAGGAACTGAGGTAGAATATGAGGCGAAAGAGGACTCAGGTAAAATATAGGAGGTAGTTGGGGAAAGGTGAAATATGAGTTAAAATAGGAGGGAACTGAGGTAGAATATGAGGGAAAGACAGAAAGGAGAGGTGGAAAAGGAGAAAGTATGAGAGAATAGGCAGGTGGGAAAAGGGGACTGAGGTAAAATATAGGGAGCAGATGAGAAAAGAGGTAAAATAGGAGGGAACTGAGGTAGAATATGAGGGGAAAGGGGACTGCGGTAAAATATGGGGGCAGGTGGAAAAAGAGGCAAATATGGGGTAAAATCTGAGGGAACTGAGGTAGAATATGAGGGAAAAGGAGACTGAGGTAAAATGTAAGGGGCAGGTGGGAAAAGAGGTAAAATAGGAGGGGACTGAAGTAGAATATTAGGGAAAAGAGACTGAGGTAAAATATAGGGGGCAAGTGGGAAAGGGTAAAATATGAGGGAAAATAGAGGGTATATGAGGGAAAGGGGGACTGATGTTAAATATAGGAGGCAGGTGGGAAAAGAGGACAAATTATGAGTCAAAACATGAAGGAACAGGTACAATATGAAGGGAAAGGGGGCTGGGGTAAAATATAGGGAGCCGATGGGAAAGGAGGTAAATATGAGTTTAAGAGGGAACTTAGGTATAATACGAAGGCAAGATAGAAAGCACAGGTGGGAAGGAGACAGCTAAAATATGGGGGGGCAGGTGGGAAAGAAGATAAAATAGGAGGTAAAATATGAGAGAACTGAGATAGAATATGAGGGAAAGAGAAAGGGAAGGTAGGAAAGGGAAACTGAGGTAAAATATGAGTTAAAATAAGAGACAACTGAGGTATAATATGAAGGAAAGATAGAAAGGACAGGTGGGAAAAAAGGGACTGAAGTAAAATATAGGGGGGAGGTGAAAAAAGAGGCCAAATATGAGTTAAATTAGGGAACTGAGGTAGAATATGAGGAGAGGAGAAAGGACAGGTAGGAAAAGCGTACTGAGGTAAAATATAAGGGGCAGGTGGGGAAAGAGGTTAAATGTGAGTTAAAATTCAAGGGAAAGATAGGCAGGTGGAAATGGATATTTTTCTTATAATATTTATCTATAAATTTCTCCTGAAGGAGAGAGCTGAGGTAGAATATGAGGGAAAGAAAGAAAGGACAGATGGAGAATGGAGACTGGGGTAAAATATAGGGGACAGGTGGAAAAAGAGGTGAAGGGTGATCTAAAATATGAAGGAACTGAGGAATATGAAGGGAAAAGGACTGAGGAAATATAGGAGGTAGTTGGGGAAAGGTGAAATATGAGTTAAAATAGGAGGGAACTGAGGTAGAATATGAGGGAAAGAGAGAAGGGGCAGGTAGGAAAAGGACTGTTGTAAAATATGGGGGCCAGGTGGAAAAAAGAGGCAAATATGGAGTAAAATCTGAGGGACCTGAGGTAGAAAATGAGGGAAAGGGGGACAGGAAAAATATAGGGAGCAGGTGGGAACTGAGGTAAAATGTGAGGTAAAATGTGAAGGAACTGGGGTAGAATATGAGAGAAAAGGAGACTGGTAAAATATAGGAGGCAGATGGTCGAAGAGGCAAAATATGAGGGAGTTGAGGTAGAATATGAGAGAAAGGGAAACTGAAGTAAACTATAGGGGGCAGGTGGAAAAGGAGGTAAAATATTAGGGAACTGAGTCAGAATATGAGGGAAAGAGAAAGGGCACACAGGAAAGGGGGACTGGGGTAAAATATAGGGGACAGGTGAAAAAGGGGTAAAATATGAGTTAAAATAAGAGAATATGAGGGGAAAGGCGGATTGAGATAATATAGTAGGCAGGTGGGAAAAGAGGTAAAATAGGAGGGAACTGAGAACATGAGGGGAAGGGATTGAGATAAAATATAGATAGCAGGTGGAAAAGTATGTAAAAGTTGAGCTAAAATAGGAAGGAACTGAGGTAGAATATGAGGGGAAAGGAACTGGTGTAAAATATAGGGGGTAGGTGGAAAAGGAGGTAAATGTGAGGTAAAAATGAGGGACCTGAGGTAGAATATGAAAGAGACAAAGGGCAGGTGAGAAAAGGGGATTGAAATAAAATATGGCTGGCAGGTGGAAGAGGAGTTAAAATATGAGGGAACAGGTAGAATATGAAGGAAAAATAGAAGGGGCAGGTAGGAAAGGGGAGACAGGTGAAATATAGGGAGCAGGTGGAAAAAGAGGTAAAATATGAGGGAACTGAGGTAGAATATGGGGGAAAGAGAGAAAGGGCACGTTAGAAAGAGGAACGGGTAAAATATGAGGGCAAGGTTGAAAAAGAGGTAAAATATGAGAGAACCGAGGTAGAATATGAGGGAAGGATAGAAGGGGCAGGTAGAAAAAGGAGACTGAGGTAAAATATAAGGGGCTGGTGGTAAAGGAGGCAAAATGTGATTTAAAATATAAAGAAACAGGTAGAATATGAGGGAAAGAGAGCGGACAGGTAGCGAAAGGATAGGTAAAATACGAGGGTAGGTAAAAATAACTGAACTGAGGTAGAATAGGAGGGAAAAAAGGGCAGGTGAAAAAGGGGAACTGAGGGAAAATATGGGGGGCAAGTGGAAAAGGAACTAAAATCAGGAAACTGAGGTAGGATGTGAGGGAAAATTAGACTGAGGTAAAATGGGCAGGTAAGAAAAATGTAAAATGTGAATTGAAATATGAGGGAAAGATAAAAAGACAGGTGGAAAAAGCTATTATTATTATTATTATTATATTTATATTTATATTTATACCCTGCTGTATCCTCCTGAAGGAGAGATCGGAGGTAGAATATGAGGAAATGGTAGACAGGGCAGTTTGGAAAACCAAAGCAAAACTGTGGCAGAATATGAGGTAAAGAAGACGCAGGTGGTAAAAGCTAGGGAGGACTGAGGTAAACTATGAGGTAAAGTTTAAGGGGCGGGTGAAAAAGGCTAGGAAACTCTAAGGAAAAATATAAGGGGCAGGTGGGAAAACTTAGAACTCAGACTATGAAGGAAAGTTATCAGGGACATCAGTGTTCTGGTTTGTGTAATCACCACCCAGGCCTCAAACCGATTCCCTAATTTCCCATGTAATCCTCTGCACAGAGAAAACACATAACTCAATATCAGTTGAAACTGAATTAAATGATCAGTGTAGTTGGGCTCCGAGAGAGGGGAAGATCACTAAGCTTCAACCAGGGATCCTCAAAGAAAGACCCACAGGCCAGATATGGCCCTTCAGTCGTTTACTCACCACTGGCCCTAATGTCTGAAATTATTTGAAGGCACACAACAACAATCATAATTAATGTGACTCTCATCAGCCAAAAGCAGCACCACGCTACCCACTGAAATACCGGTAAGTTTGTATATTGTTTGTAAGTTTATATCTATATAAATAAAAATGTAAATGTCCGTTTGTTCAAAACCTCAAATCTCCCAATACTTCACTGATTGCTTTGAAATTTAGACACAAAGTAGGTTTTGAACAGCCACTTGTTTTTATGTTTCCACATACCTACTGTTATATAGAATTTTCACATACCTACTATTATATATGTAGCTGTCACACCTGTGACAGGGAAAAATATGCTTTTTTGAAAAACAGCGCCATCTGTTGGACATCAAAGCAACGCACGCTATACTACATATTTTACAATTCCATTTCAATCTTTCCAAATGCATTGCTACATAGATTTCAATTTCGTTGTATTTTGATTCAGTTATTTTGTGTGAAATTTCATTGGAATTGAGCTGTATTGTTTACTATAGTGTTCATTTTGCGAGTCTAGTTTATTGTTGCCCTTCACATTGGCGCTGCTCGCTCTTCCCTGAAGGGGGCGGGATTGCGTGGGGACGCGTGTCTGGGGCGGGCCTTTGCCTTCCTCCCTCCATGCTGCTTCTCTGCCTCAGTCCGAAGTTGCGCCTGAGGGAGAGGGAGCGCACCTCGGCCACTTACCCACTCAGCCAGGCCTCTTTGGGCAGGAAAGGCAGGCATTGCCTCTTAGACTCTGAGTGCTTATTTGGCTGCATGGGCATGTGCATCACACCCCCTCCGTTGGGTTTCCCTAACTTCAAAGCCCCCGCCTTGTAAAAAGCCCTTGCTGTCAATCATTGTCTCATCTGAAGGGGGGGGCTTCCTCTCTCCTTCCCTCCTTCAATGCCACCCCTACTCTCAGGAATGCTTCTGTATGTTTATTATTTATTTCATAGGGGCTCCTTTGGGCGTCCAGTGTCTTTCTTTAGGCCCCTTCCTCACAGCTGTATATGATCCGCATTGAGCTGTGTTACATGGCAGTCTGGACTCAGATAACCCAGTTCTAAGCAGACATTGTGGATGATCTGCCTTGATGTTCTGAGTTATATGACTGTAAGGAAGTCTACACTGACATATAATCCGCTACAAAGCAGACATTGTGGATTATTTGCCTTGATATTCTGGGTTGAAGATGTCCTCATTCCTCGCATTCCTATGATTTCAACGGATATGCCATTTCAATTTAAGAGATTGCAATTCCCAATTCGATTGGTGTTTGCAATCACCATCCACAAAGCACAGGGCCAATCTTTAGAATTGTGCGGTTCAGATCTAGACACAGATTGCTTCTCACATGGAATATTATATGTTGCGTGTTCTAGAGTCGCCAACCAGACAATATATTCGTACAGAGAATGGAACAACAAAACATTGTATACCCACAAACATTGTGAAATTAAATATATTAGAAACCTGTTCTTTCTCTTTTCTTTCTTTTCCATTTAACCTTACTGGGCCACAGCAATGCGGGCCAGGGACAGCTAGGGTGTGTGTGTGTGTGTATAATATTGTATTGTTCTTTCATTTTTTTTTGCACTATACATAAGATACATGCAGTGTACATAGGAATTTGTTTTTTCAAACTATAGTTTGGCCCCCCCAACAGTCTAAGGGACTATGAACTGACCCTCTGCTTAAAAAAATTGAGGACCTCTGCTTCACACAGACCTAGATCAGGTTCCATATTTTTTATACAACAAACTACAACAGTAATAAAAAAGTATTTCAAAATGATGACACATCATGCCCAGTTTATGGATATGAAGGGTAAGAGTGGGATATCATTTAATATTATAACAACAACAACAACAATAATGTGAGCGGCTTTAATCAGTTTTCAAGATCAGACCAAAGTCAAGTGAGAGTAACCCGCTATGTAACATGAGTTACTTTGTTTCTTTTCCTTGTTGGACGGCTAATTTCAAGAACACGAGGACTAGCGACATACTGGAGAGCCCCCTTTGAAATTTTGTATGGATTGTGGTCATCGAAGGTATATATCCGAGGCTTGGAGAGTTGAGCATACTTTTCAGCAGCAGGAATGGGACCACGGAGGATTTTTCTAGCCGGCTCTGCGAGAGTGAACCAAACGAGAAGCAAGAGTTTAGAATCAAGTTTAACAGAGACAGCCTTTCTTAAAGAGGGAAATGTAGGAGGTGATGCAAAATTATTTGAGTGACCAGATTCGAAGTATTAATTCGGTTACCTCAAATGACCAAGATAAAATTCGTCTCCAGTAAATCAATTCAGCATATGATGAAAGGGGGGAAAAAACTATGGATTAAGCCCAAAGGATTACATGTGGCCCTGTCCCGATTAGAAAAAAGCTATAGATAGTCCAAACCAATATTCTTATTGTAAAGGAAGGATTTAATTGATGTACATCAGTTTGGAATTCTTGGATCTGCTCTTGATTTTTCTACTTCAGTTTAGAGAATTATGAATGTCGAGGGACAAACACCATAATGTAAATTGAGTCCGGCTTGAGATTGGGGTGTCTACAAAATGTACAGAATAAGACATAAAAAGTAACCGCAGCAAACAAGGCAGGGCTGGACTGAAGACCAAGAAGCACTCATCAGGACAGGGCTAATACTGATGCATTTGAAAACCCCTACCCAGACAGATCCCTCTATCCCCTGGTTGCCTTTCAACAAAACTCAAAGTCCACACATTTTACAAAGTAAACTGCCATCCACATACATTTGTATAATAACCAAATGTATTGGGCTGCCTTGTCGTTGCCTCAACAGATAGCACTGTTCTGTAGAAAGCCATCTTCAGCCCAGAAAGTCATTATTCCCATGTTATAAACACAGGTTAAGAAAACCACTTGCCTAAGGCCCATCTAGTGAATTTGCTGCTGAGATTTATAATTTTCAAGATAAAGAGAAGTGGGTTAAAAGCATTACTCCCCGTGGTGTAGACCTTCATTGCTTCTGCTCCTGAAGATTAAACAGGTTTTCAATGGTGAATGGAGAATAGTCTAGAAGTATGTCTTGCTGTCAAAGTTATTATCAGGGAAAACTGCCTGTCTTTTGGGAAATTATGATGCAAAGTGGCTCCCTGTCTTTGAGCAGTGGGGGAAACTTTCAAGAAGGCCTTATGGGAACAGCTTCCCTACTCAATTGTGGAAAGGGCGTCTTGGGAACTCTGTGAGCAATGCACACAGGAACTTGTGTTTGTATGGTGCTATTCCCACATTTCCCATCTGAAAATGGGAAGGTGCTTTATTTAGTGAGCAACCCATTGCAGGCATTTCCCTAGGAGCTACAACTACTATGAAAAGCGAGTTATTGACAAGGGTAGAAAAGTAAGTTGCTTACTCTGTGGAGTGGGTGGCAAGCGCCTTGGTTCAGCTAGAGCAATGATCCGTGGGGTGGGAATGGCAGTCAGGGCTCCTTTACTCACCTAAAGACAAGAATCCAACATTCATCTGTGACTGATCTTAGTCTCTGCACCCCTATTTCCACACCAAGCAGAAACAGACATGGCCAAAGTTGAGTGACACATGGAAACGACTGGTAACTAAATTTTATACCATTAAGAAGAGTTGAGCTAAAGTGTAAACTGGACTTTACTAGTCCATCATCCCACTTCTCACACTGGTTAACCAGTACTTAAATGCAACAGCAGTTTCTCACCCATCTCTCCCATCCTGTCAACTTTTATTGATTCATATGCTGCTTTTGATTGAAGAGCTAACCATTAAGTTAGTAGCCACTAGTATCCAAGTAGTTGCGTTTGGTACCCCTTAAGTGCTTCCCTAGCTATTGTCGTACTTTTGATCTATTCTAATATTGTTGGGAAGGTGAGTCCTGCAATGCTTATAACTCCCATTTCTTGTATGTAAGTTGCTTGCGTTGGCTATGTATTTGTTTACTGAACAATAGGTGCTATCATGTTTTAAACATGTTGACATTTGCCTCTATATTGGATTAATGAGCCAGCGAGGGGCAAACGCACCCAAGAGGGACTGAAGTGGCTTATTGACAAATGGGACAAAAGTCCACAGAATATCTAAACGGCTTTACCTATAAATCAACGATGCTGAAGAGATCATACTGATGTAGCTCTTTGAATGTATGGAAGTAGTCTTAAGTTATAATGATAGTGCAGCAACAATCCACATACCATCAGGGATCGGGGCCGGTACCAGTCATTTGTGTAACACCGGGGTTGTGCCAGTTCCTTCAACCTGGGAGAGGCTTCTGCCTTCAGAGCAGCGGGTGTGATCGGCCACATAGGAGTGAGTCTGAAATTGGCAAAAAAGGAAAACAGCAGATATTTATAAACACAGAACTCTCCTTTCTCCCTTTTCATTAGTTAAATTGAGTCTGAACGTGCATGCAGGAATATTCAACGGACAACTTGTTATAAGACCCCTGAAAAGTAGTAAATTATTACCTTGACCATTACAGGAGAGAAAGTATTTTAGTGCCAACATGTTGCTCCAAAAGTTTGTTGAAAACAACAATTTAACATGAGTTATTTCATAAAACGAACCAACATAGAAATATTATTTTGGGAGAAAACATTACATTTGATGGTGATAAGCTGGCACATTCATTTAAAGCAGGGGTCCTCAAACTAAGGCCCGGGGACCGGATACGGACCTCCAAGGCCATTTACCTGGTCCTTGCTTAGGGTCAATTAAGTCTGAAATGACTTGAAAGCACACAACAACAACAACAACCCTATCTCATCAGCCAACAGCAGGCCCACACTTCCCATTGAAATACTAATAAATTTATATTTGTTAAAATTGTTCTTCATTTTAATTATTGTATTGTTTTAAAGTGTTTTTGCACTACAAATAAGATATGTGCAGTGTGCATAGGAATTCATTCATGTTTTTTTTCAAATTATAATCCGGCCCTCCAACAGTTTGAGGGACTGTGACCTGGCCCTCTGTTTAAAAAGTTTGAAAACCTCTGATATAGTCAGTTTGAGGGACTGTGACCTGGCCCTCTGTTTAAAAAGTTTGTGGACCTCTGATTTAAAGTCTGTGAAAGTGTATGTCAAAATAAGTTTGTGATGCCCCAGAATGTGCCGTTTTGCTCTGCAACAGACAAATAAATGTGAGACTTCGGATATGTTGATTGCTTGTTTTTCAGCCTTCAAGTCTATCTATATAAGCAGATAACATTCATTTGACCTTTATGAATGTATCTCCTTCATCACTTTTTAATTCAGGCTGGTTATGCCCTGCTTCACCTGTCTCCTTTGTATTCTGGATTCACCTTCTTAATTTGCGCCAGTTCTTCCTGCCTTGGGGTTAAGACTGCAAAAGAAGGATGGGGAAGACAATCACAAGAACAGATTATCAGCAGTAGTAAGGAGCCAAAATTAAAATAAGCTAAACTTCTTTGGGCTGTTATTGAGCCACGGTACCCCCCCCCCCCCCTTTATAGTTTACTAAGAGACCAGAAATAAATAAAGTGGCACCTCTACGTACAAACATCCCAACATACATATTTTTCGATGTATGAACCATTGCTCGGCTTGAGTTTCGTTTTAATTTCTGAGCACCCATTTTGACCTACGAGCAATCCAGAGGGCATGCTTGCGCCAGAGTGAGGACTCGCGCAAGAGTCCAGCACTGCCTCTTCTCTCCTCTTCCTCTGCCCCCCTGGTCTCCTCCCCGGCCCTCCCATGGTGGCTCAGCCAGATAGGCTGCCTGCCCTCTCTTTCTCTTTCTCTCTCCGCTGGCCTCCTTCTCGTGCCCTTGTGGTGAGCCATGCACCTGGCCGAAGAGGAGGCCACCAAAGCCAGGAGCAGGCCCTGCTTAAGATGGTGGGTACTCTTGCATTAACATTACCTCTTGCAAGAGAGCCTTATGTCTGGTGAGTTGGTTTCTCTTTCCTGGCCTATCTGGCTTAGTATACACTTGCCAGGCACATACTCTCTGTCCATGGTCCTAGCAAAGTCACTACAGGGCCACTCGTCCTTCCTGCTCCACACTCAGCCCTGATTGGCTGCATTCCCCTCTCTCTTCCCCTTCCCACCTTCTTTGGGCTACTCAAAAACCTTTAGGGGGCTGCATGTTGTCTTATCTAGCCCAACAGCAAGAATTGAGAGCTAAAGCAATGCAACAAGCAGCTGTCCAACTTTGGTTTCAGATTCCCCACTTTAAGAAAGTGCATTATATTCTGGGATAAGCCATTCACCATCAGATCATTGTCAGGAGCTTGAGTCCTGCCATTATGATTTTGTTTTGTGTGTAAGTATAAGTGCGGATTGAATTATGGGTCTTACCATGCATTCTCCATTCCTGGACCTGAGCCATATGGGACTGTAGTGGCCATGACCCTCAGATTTATATATTGTAATCCCTCTAAGCCACCTGTAACCAATAACTCCAATTCTCAGCAACTTGCCTGGCACAGTAAATTGAGGCTGCTCCGAGGGGATTTTATCTACCCAGTAGACAGTGCGCCTGCAGAGAAGGACAGAGTGTGTTCAATGAGCATATGTTTTCATGCTGACTTCCACTGTACCTACCTTTTGTACAGAAGCGTTGTCTAAATGGGATTAATAATCTATATATATAAAAAGCTTAAGGGCGTCCTTAGGCGTTCAAAAACGGAGAAACCACTGGACGAAATCTCACCAAATTTGGCCTGCTAATACCTCTTCCCCCAAGGTATGACCAACAACCCTCAAAACACCAATACGCAACAACACAAACGCACAATACCCTAAAAACATGGAGCATGCGCAGAGGCCTCGGGAGGAATACAATGAGGAGGAAGGACTCCATTTCCCAGCTTCCCCCACGCCCAAGTCGCCCTCCGCATGCGCACTGCCACCTGAGTGCCTCCCTCTACCCCATCGCTCCCGCCGCTGCCTCAGATACACAGACGGAAAAAGACCAGGAGAGATTGCGAGCCCAGCCTGAGAAAGCCCACCAGGCCGATGTAAGCACTAACGGCCGGGGAGGGCATGGAAGCTGCGGGGGGCCGCCAAGGGCAACAAAAACAACACGAGACGGGAGGCCCGCCATCTTCTCCTAAGCCGGGGCCTCGATTTCTACCGCGGCCCGACGCCCCTCTTCCCTTTGGCGGCCTCCAAACCTGCCTGGTGGGAGGTGGGTCTCTCCCAACTGCTTCTCCTGCCCGCTGCTTTTTCACTTTTATAACAATGTACTCCTCATTTCTGGGATTTACGGATTTGAACCACACTTGGCACACTGAACTCCCATGACCAACAGATAATACTGGAAGGGTTTGGTGGGCATTGACCTTTCATTTCGGAATTGTAGTACACCTACATCCAGAGAGCACTGTGAACTCCAACAATGATGGATCTGGACCACACTTGGCACGAATATGAAAACAGATGGACTTTGGGGGAAATACACCTTAACATTTGGGAGTTGTAGTCCCTGCAATTCACTGTTCACCTACAATCAAAGAGCATTCTGAACCCTACAAACGACAGAATGGGGGCAAACTTCCCACACAGAACTCCTATGACCATCAGAAAATACTTAAGGTCATCCAATCCAACTCCCTTCATCACGGCAAGAAAACGTAATCAAAGAGCCATCCAGCCATAGATAGATAGAGATAGATAGATAGATATGATTCACAGACACACAGATATAGTATCATAGATTTTAAAGGCACCCCTAAAGAAGGACAATAATATGTTCCATGTTCCAGAGTAGACAATCCAGACAATCTCCACATCAATACTGACAAAGAAACAGAGGACCACTCGAAGAAAGATGGTTACAGGTGAGTAACCTACCATTACCCACAAGAAGAAAGAAATTACATATATTAAAAACCAACATTTTCTCATTACTTTATTTTCCAGATCAACAGACTGGGCCACAGCAACGCGTGGCAGGGCACCGCTAGTTATTATTATAATAAACTTTATTAATACCCCGCCACCATCTCCGCGAAGGGGACTCAGAGCGGCTAACATGAGGCCAAGCCCAAAGATACAATACAGCAAAATAAAATACAGAATACAGACAACAAAAATTACATCAGAATAAAATGCATACAGTGGTGAAATAAAATAAATAAAGCAAATTAACACAATATAAAATCCAACAGAATGGGCAGGCCAAATGGACAAGATAAAATGATAAAACCCTGGATGAGGTAGGAATAGAAAAAGTGTAATTGAGGGGAGCCCAAAAAGGATAAACAGTGGGGTAATGCTTTCATTTCCGGATGGGGGAAAGTGCATCATAGGGGCAACACTGTAGATGGAACAAAGAGAAATGGAATAAATGGTCACTGTCCTTTTTTCCCCCATCAGAAAAGGAAAAAAACTCATTAGGCACAGGACATGGGATTAGCCCCCTTTCCCCATCAGCCCTCATTCACAAGGTATATCCAATGTATATACACAGATGACCAAGACAGTTTTAAATGGTGTATTTTAATATTGTGATAAATGTTTTTAATGTTTTATGTATGCGTATATGAATTCTTGTCCCGGCATTGAATGTTTGGCGTGTATATGCTGCGCTCTGCCCTGAGTCCCCTTCGGGGTGAGAAGGGCGGAATATAAATGTTTTAAATAAATAATAATAAATAATATTCCAAACATTAAAATCTGAAAAGCTCTGGTCCCGATGATTTTGGATAAGGGAGACTCCACCTGTAGTGTAATATGGTATCCAAAAAGTCAGTGCAATTCTAAACTGCATCCATATGAAAGTGCCACTGTAGAGGAGGACCTCATGTCTTCCCAGAGGATATTGTTCTGACTGATGGGACACAGAGGAGAGGCCCTTCCTTACTTAGGCGATCCCTCATTGTCTGAATTTGATGACTCTCCAAGTGTAGTGTCCTGGCAGTGAATACGTAGGTGACTGTAGAGCCGTATTCTTGACCCGCATGTTCTTCCCCAGTGAGGGCATCAGTTTCCAGGTAGAATGTGGTCCCGGTCAGGGTTGGCTTGACGCACCTTCCTCTTGGAAGGTCTCTCCCTTTCGGCCTCCATTTGTGCCTCTTCAAATTCCACAGCACTGCTGGTCACAGCTGACCTCTAGCTAAAGTGCTCAAGGGCCAGGGTTTCCCAGTTCTCAGTATCTATGCAACAGTTTTTAAGGTTAAGTTTAAGCCCATCTTTAAATCTCTTTTCCTCTTTTCCACCAACATTCCATTTTCTGTGCTTGAGTTGGGCGTAAAGTAACTGGTTGGGGAGATGGTGATCTTTGGACATTTGGACAATGTGGCCAGTCCAGCAGAGTTGATAGCTTATGAGCATCACTTCAGTGCTGGTGGTCTTTGCTTCTTCCAGCACACTGACATTTGTTCGTCTGTCTTACCAAGAGATTTGCAGGATTTTTTGAAGGCAACGCTGATGGAATCGTTCCAGGAGTTGAGTGTGATGTCTGAAGACATTCGGAAAAATGCAGCACTCACAGCGCTCAAGCAGTGTTGTATTTCAATGTCAATGTTGACTTTTGTGGAGAGGTGGCTGCCAAGGTAGCAGAAATGATCAACATTTTCTAACATTACACCATTAATCTGCATTGCAGAGGGATTGGCTGATGCCTGCTGGAAGATCACTTTGGTTTTCTCGATGTTCAATGAGAGGCCGAACTTCTCGTATGTTTCTGCAAAGGTGTTTAGAGTCTTCTTCTGAGGCAGGTGCATATACAGAGAGGCACTCCTTTAAGTACCACTAGCAGTAACAACAATTCAGACAATATATATGAAGAAACTGATCCTATCTAACAACATATTTCTCACCTGCAGAAGAGGACCTGGTGGTTAATTTTTGGCTGTGCGAGAATACTGATGCGGTCTTGTTTCTGATCCATTCTGGAGGCATCGCTTAGTCACAGAACAGTTCTAGGTAAAACTCAAGCATGCAGAAAGATATATCCAATCACTTTCTGTTCTGAATTTCAACCTTCTATAAGCCACCGATTGTACACAACATCAACCTATTTGAGAATCTAAACATTTTTAGGGTGGGTAGGAAAGAATGACAGACCTAACTGCCTCTCCGATTCCATATATATATATATATATGTGTGTGTGTGTGTGTGTGTGTGTGTGTGTGTGTGGAAACCAGTATTGATGACGAATTCTAACTCTTAAAAAATCAATACCAACTTTCTCCACTTCGGGGCACCCTTGTACCAGATGATATTTACATTACGAAGGGAAATTATTGGCAGAAAATAGGAATGAGTTCCGGAAAATTGTGCCGACAGAGTTGGATCCCAGCCTCGGTATGAAGGCAGCTTCCTAAAATAACTGGAGCTTTAGTTTAGGTTTTTCAGGGCAGAAACATAACTA